GGCTGATGTTGATGGAAATAAATATGAAGCAGCTTTGACACTGTCTGTAGCCAGCAGGAGACACATGAACTAAGGCAGACAGGAGCTCATAGAGATCCTGGTCAGGGGGCACTAAGGGGTTCTGCTGGTCCTGAAAACCCCTCACAGTCCTCAGTGGTCCCTCACAGTCCAGCTCCGATGTGTAGCGGCATTAATTGTAGAATAAATGCATCATCATCAGTCATCTCGGTCCACTTTTATCTGACATCCATTACAATATAGCAGCCGGGCCCTCCTTCCAGGAGGCTGCTGGGTTTTATCAATGGATGACTGGGCCTGGCCTCTGTCCACCTTCGTTGTCTGCCTTGGTCGGCTTAGCAGCTTGCTAGCTGACCTGAGTGGCCACTCTGGTCACAGCTTTGGCCGTTTCATCTTGGCCTTCAACAGTGTTCCCGAGGCCAGTCCTGCCTAAGCAGCCCTTCTGCCTGTCAGGTCCAGGGCCCCCGACTGCTTGGTATGTAAATAAGTGTACATTTGCAAATAGTGCATTTGTCATGTACGTGTGGTTCGGGCTGCATCGTCTCCTCACGGGGTGTTTGAAAGAGTTACCTCCTACATACCGCGAAATATGTACCTGGGTGGAGAGACAGTCTCGAGACGCTAGAGAACGTATGGTTCTATGTAACCTTGGTTCTCAGGGTGAAGAGACTTTCTCCAGCTCTTGTGGCCACTCACAGCAGCACAGGGGCTTTACAGGCAGCCTGTGGGGCGAGACTGGGCAAGCCGGTATGTCTTATATAATATATCTATTAAATCTATTAATAAATATGTATGTATGTGTAATATATCTACGTTCCCTGACGAGCAGGGGCTTCATTCCCCTACATATGAAACATGTACCTGGGTGGACAGACAGTCCCTTCACTCAGAGGACCAAGGTTACAGAGCAACCATACAGTTCTGACTGGAGTGATTTTCTGCACCTTTATGGCTCAAAACAAACGTATTTCTTTATTGTTTTATTTTAGACTAGTGATTGTATACTGCGATTGGTTTCAGTCTGCATTCTCATAACATCCATTGCTTAAAAAGTGTGGTTTTGGTTTGTCAGGCCAGTGCCGGTCCAGATCTGGACTTCGACATCGACATTCCTCTGTGGAATGAAGTGGACGCAAGCAGCACCTGCACAGGTACAACAAGCACAAGTGTTTACGTGCACAAAATTTCAGCCTGAAAAGAGGAAAGTCTCATCTACAAGAGATGATGGGATATGTGGAGTATAGATGTTGTTGTTCAGAACAGCTTTGACTGTAATGTACAGATGATTACACGTAGAAAACCACAACGACGACTGAGTTTGAGGAGATTCATTGTCAACTGGTGGTACCATTTGTCTTAAAAAAATCAGCATTTGCGCATTTCGTGTTGTCGTTGCTGCTTCAGGACTGAAATATAAAGAATGCCAAGCTGAGTGGCTGAGTGAATGCTTGTGAGGCATGGTGCCCTACGCTGAACCATCCTATGTATATATAAACCACATTCTGTGTCCTTGTGCATCCAGATGGTGAGGTGAGCGTGGACTCTCTGTCACCTGCCCACACTCTGAGCTCCGTCCCCTCTCCTGCCTCGGTGGAAGCCTTGTCCCCGTTCTCCTTACAGGTAAGACACTGTCTTCAGCGTCATGTCCTTCCTGGTCTTCAAACATTTGAATTGGATTTCCAATGCAAATGTTACCTTTGTTATTCGTCGTGACTATTTACATACATGCACATCCTGCACGTGTCCGTTGGAACAAAGAAAATTTTCATCCAGATGGTGTCCAAACACTGACAGCTGTGCTCTGCTTTTGGATGGCCACACACACACACACACACACACACACACACACACACACACACACACACACACACTTGAGACGCTTATTAACAAAAGCCTTAAACACCTTGTCAGGGTAATAATTTGCTGTCCATCTGAGCTGAGTGCCAACCCCTCGTTAAAAAAAGGTGCTGACAACTTCAACCACATTAGCATAATTTAGCAGGCATATGTTTTCACAGTGTGTCAAAACAAGGACAGGGGTCACGTCTTTTTCTGGCCCGACACAGTCTGCACTCATTTGTCTGCAAACAGAATCGTCCTGACTTAATCCAAGGACACCTTTGTCTGCTGGAGTCTTTGAATAATGACAAGGACACGGGATCCGTTTTCATCCAGTGCGTCTAAAGCACGTTACGTAGAGAAGACCCTCGTTGGAGATGACCTGCGCCTCACCTGGAAAGCACATGAGAGTCGACAGCAGCAGCTGGAGGTCAAAGCTGGCAGTGGAGGCAGTTTTCAGCAGCCTTCAGTCTGTACAGGACCTTACAGGAATCTCCTACACATGTGCGCTTATCCACAGTCTGTAATGGTTTTAATGATGACGGAGCAGCCACAGGCCTTCTCTGTTCCTCCATCCATATGATCAGCTTTCCACTGTACATAAATCAGTCGCTCAGACCTGTCCCCCTCTGGAACGACATAAAAACACCGACAACACGGATAAATAGTCAAATCCAGCAGAGAGAAATACAGTGTGTCAGATATCCAGACTGCCAGATTTGAACAGTCCTCAGGTCCAACTCACAAGAAGTTTTGCTGCTGCTAAACACTTCAACAAATACGTCGGCCCGGTGTGACTGTCCAGCAGACCGGACCTCTGTATGCAGCCTGTAATGTGTAGTCTGGATGTTTTGGGCCTTTTTGACTGATAGATGTCAGCATTTACCACCAATGTAGAATCATCCTTCAACGTTTGACAAATATATTTTAAATGTCTGTAAATCAACTAAAATGAAAGGTTTCTATCATGCTGTTGAGCCAACATCTAAACCAATCAGCTGTTAGGTCACAAGAGAGCCAGACAGTTCCCATCATGCCCCGAGGCCGTGCAGGCGCTGGGCAGCAACTTCAAATATTGCATCCGCCTTGATCTTAGAGTGTTATCGTTTCCTTCAAAACAAGTTGGGATCAAGTCAGACAGGAATCCTGCATTGTGATCAGATCTGTGCAGGTCCGGCTCGTTCTGAACCAGCCTGATGAGAGGCGTCACAGGAAAGTGCTGGGCATCAACCTGTCTTTGCAAATATTTTCTGTTTTCAGTGTTTTGCTCAAATATTTGTTGGCTGCTGGATCCTACAAAGAGTTAGCTACAGGACCTAAGTCTGATCTCTTCTTCTGTCCAGGATGAGGCCCTGTCACCGCAGTCGCAGCCTTCCCCTGTTTCAGTCTGCTCAGAGTCCAGTGGCTTCTCTGAAGTCTCTATTCCAGCCAAGAAAGCTGCAAAGAGGACCAGTCAGGCATCACGAGGTGAGGCAGCCTCCACCACCACACAGCTGCTTATTTAGCGGCCATCTGCATTTTACTCTTTATCCAAAAAAAAGGAGAAATGCTGGCCCACAGTCTGGATTTTCAGAACCCTGGGATGTAATCTGGGGGTGATTTGATATTTTAAAAAAGCTGCGTTATTTGAAATACCCTGAAACTCTTCATGCAAATGTCCCTACATCACCATCATTCCTTCCAATAGTAATCATCCTTGTTTCTTATCTCACCCCTCCCATCCCCATCCCTCGATGCACAAATGCTCACCACTCCAGCCAAACCAGCTCAGCCAATCAAGAGGCCGATTCAGATCGGCCCGAAGGTTTCCATCCAGCCCAAACCGCTGATTACAGCTGTGCCTTTGGCTCAAGCGGCAGCGCCTTTGCAGGCCAAGACAATCATCATCCAGCCTCTGCAGACCACCGTGCTGCCTGTGGTCAAAGCAGCTCCGGTCACCATCCAACCAGCGCCCCCCCCAGGTCAGAGCTCACACTGCAACACATGGAGACAGCACGCCCTATTGCATTGGACCAGTGTATTAGGTTTATAGTTTGGCAATGTAATATTCTTATCTCAGAGTCCCCTATAACTCACTGTGCTTTAGAGGTTAGATTTTATTACCACAGATTTGTCATTACTTATTAATAAGGAGGGCGTTCTTGATGCAGTGTAGTTGTGTCTTGGCCAGTAGATGGCGCTTTAACCTTAGCGTTGGCTCCTCTCTGAACCCCAGTGTCCCATACTGTTCTGCTTGATGGCCAAATAATAATAAATAAATCAGGCATTATGTCGTTAATGTTTTGTGTAACCAAAATATTCCCAAATTAGGGCTGCGTTCGACAAGATTCAGCTTTGGGACCCAGCCATCGTAAATATACAACCAGGGAAGTTTGCTGTAATAACCCACATGTAGGCCAAAGACTGTTTATGGCTGCTGTGTGTTTTGTGCGTTAACAGTCATGATGGCTGTTGCTTCGTGGGTTAGCTTGCTTGGTCTGCCAGTGTGGCCCTCTCTGTGTGTGACGTCAGCAGCACCCAGGCCAGTGTAAATACTTACGTCAGCGCTTGGGACCCAAGTGGGTGGAGAACCTGACCTCTGTCCAAGTGAACTTGAACTTGGCTCTGCGGTTTGCCTGGTAATGGCCAAGATGGCAGATGGCTCAGGCCAACTTATCCAAGTGTAGGACCCCAGGTGGACTTGAAGACGAGCCTGTTTATTGTTATGAGTCTCAATGGTGGAGATATTTGCTCACTGTTCAAGCGGAGCAGCAAACCTCTGAGCATCAGGGAGGGGAGAGTAAGACATTACCCATATTTACTGATTAGTTCACATTTATGGCGTCTGAGCTGTCATTCGTGCATTTCCAAAGAGCAAACAAGCTGTCCTCAAGCTCCTAATTCCTTTTGACGTTCATCATTATGAAATCTTCTTACAGATGGTGAACTCGGCCACAAGACGGGAGCGCTGGCCCCATTCATTAGCAGAGCTGGCTAACACTTCTACACAATTAGCACTGACAGGCTGTTTAGCGTTGGACATGAAGGTTGCTGGGTCAGTTTGAGGAATGGTTCCTGGCACCGGCTTACTGGGAAGGGTGGGCTCCACTCTGGGAGGCTTCTGCATTAACAGGACATTAATGAACACGGACAGGATTGTGTTTGGTTGAGATTTGCTAGTTTATTTCTTCTGGGCTATAATCCGTTTTAAAAGTGGGCACACGGGCATGTTTATGTGTGTTCACGCACATAAAAGCCGCACAGCTCTCAGTTTGGAATGTGGAAGTTTAAGACCAGGGGTCAAGATGGCAAACATCTTCTCCACCTGTACGTTAAACACAGACAGCCCCGTTAAAGACGAGGGGTCAGCGCAGGTCAGCAGAGGTGGGGAGGGCCTCGGAGAAACAGCCTGGACCATCTGCAGCAGGACGCTCTTTAAACAGCACAGAGATGCAGCTTCCAGCTCACGTAGAAGAGCCGCTTTCAATGTTGTGTGTGAGATGAAAACATCAGCTCAAGACCAGACTTGCATGAACATATGATCACAGTCTGCATTAATCTGTGTTAATCATACAGTGAAAACAATGTGATTATAGTTTGGCTGAGACCTGTAATCTGAATATCCCTCTCAGGTCGTCCTATCCTGCTGTCTCAGCCAAGCCAGTTACTGCAGATCCAGACACCGCAGGCCGTCCCTGGCAACGTGGTCGCCATGCCAACGCTCAGCCAGGACAAGCCTGTCCCCGTGGCGGCTCCACCGGTGGTTTCTGTGGCGCTCCGGGCACCTTCCTCGGATGATGATGTGAGTCAGTCAACGCTGAGAGATGAGCACTGGGAGGTCAGAGGAGAAACACAGCAGCAGGAGTGACAACGTCTGCAATCAGGCTTAAATTAGAGTGTTGAAGACAAACATAAATAATTTCACGTCCGTGCTTTACTTCGTTCTTCATCGTTTGATTTTCACCAGTCAGACACGGCGTGTCCACGTGATAATGATGCTGTCCAAGTCTCAGACACAACGGTTACGTACTCCGGCAGCTACAACTCAAACTGGCCCTTTCTTACTTGGGTGTCAGTTTCGCCGGTGACACAAAGACGGCGGATGTTTCTGTGTGTTGGCGCTGACTGGATCTATTTCTCTGTCTGTGCTTCCACTTTTTGACAATGAGACTGCTGACTGTGAAATTAAGTGAGGAAGATCAAGTTTGGTCGTTTGTTCTGGTTCAGATAAGATCCGATTAGGGAAAACGTTGTCGTTCTTTTTCCAGGTATTGCTCAGAAAACAGAGCTACATGCAGCGCCTGGTAGAGAAGCAGCACGAAATAAGTGACATACACTATGAAAGTAAAAGTAACTGAGCTGAGATAGGACTAGAAAAGGAAATACGTCACGCTTGCAACGTTCCTGGAGCAGTAAGGCCATGTCACACACGGTAACAACGATGTTCACATGAACCTAAATGGTGCACATGAGGATGAATTATTGCACATTAAACTGAAATGCTGCAGTTTAAGCAGTCTACTATTTCCAGGCCCTGTAGACGTGGGAACAACAAAAACAGATCAGGAACAAAACGTGTGAGCTCACTGTCAAACACTTGGCATGCTTGTAAAACGTTTTGTCTCAACATTGGTGTGTTTTATAAGATCAGCGGCCTCCAATCCCTATCTCTGCTCTAAACACAGCAGCTCTGTCTCTCCTTGTGATTTTCTGTCTCTCATTTAAAGGGTTTTAGGCTCACAAGCTGCTCTGAAGGTCGTACTCCCTAATTTTCCGCCTAACTAACAATGTGCCCAAACGATTTATTAGACAAAGCCTCTCCAGAGGAATAAACAGTACTTTCAACAACTGTGTGAACTTGCGTGCTCCTGCATGTTCATGAGTCTGTAACTGTGGTGCTGTGTTGCCAGACTTGGACCGACTCCTTTCCAACCCCAACTCACTCGTCTTAACCTATTCGTAGTGTTTATTTTAATTCCCTACATCATTAACTTAATTGTTCGGTTAAGATATAAACGTATGGATGGAAAAGCATTCAGACGTATTCTTTCTAAAGATGAACGAGTTGTCCTCACTGAGAGAAGCTGTTGCAGTGCATGAACCAGCTCAGGCAGGAAAGTGACCTTCTTCTTCTAATGAGCGTAAGTTCCAGGAACATTTAGTTAAACATGACATAGAAATGTGGGTTTTTCACTGGGCCACAGCATCATGTTGACATGACGTGATACTGGGTGTAAACATGGAAGTGGATGCTGGTCGGAGCCGATTCAAGTCCATTTGTTATAACGAGCGAGAGAATCACAGTGATTGTTAATGTAATCAAACCAGATTTATGTTCAGAGGGGTGTCACTGGCCTCCACCGTAGAGCTCCATGTGAATTTGCTGAAGCTTTACCGGAACAACAAACAGTCCGCAGATGATCATTACTGGCGTCCGCTTTGTTTGTACCTGCGGGATTTTACTGGAGAGACGGCCACGTTATGTAATTGTAGTTCAGACAGTGTGAAGAGTGTCATAGCAGGACATTACCCTCAGCGTGGATCACAGAGGGTGTTGCATTGGTTGGTGATGTCAGGACAGCTGCACGGAGCAGGAAAACGCCCACATACATGCAACAATAGCCCCACTCTGATTTCTCTCTGGTTGGTGTAATGACAGCACAGAACTGAGCTGTTAGGGAGTGTCTAAGCTGCTGTTACCTGCAGCAGCTGTTCAAAAGCCTCAGAAGAAGAGTGAGGTATCGTTTGGTTTGTTTGTGGTCTCTCAATAAAACTCCTCATCGCTAGTGCATTCTAATCTGTTTTGGATGGGAGAGTCCGGCCTGAGGCTCCTGTGCTCGCCTGTGTTTTCTGGTTGGTTTTTATGTTGTTGTGCAGAGTTGAACCGCTTCCGACGTCTGAACTGTCAGCCTCAGAGATGTCGTGACTTTCAGCAGCTGCACTGTTGTTTCAGGCTTCGGTCTGCGGCGCTGCACTTCCTGGTGGTTTGCTCTTGTCTGACCTTCAGCGAGTTGAGAAATGTCTTCTCACTCTGTCTAGTTTTGTGTCGCTCTTGTTTGTTTTGTGAGCAGAACTTCCACATTGCACAACTGAGCTAGCTTTGTAATTGTGGAAAACCACGTGTCACAATTATGAAATGTCACTGAAATCATGTGCAGGGATTTCTGTGGCGACACCTGCAGGATTCTGGCAGGAATAATGTGTGTCCTGAGCGCTGAGTCATAACCCTAGTGTCACAGCGCTCTGCTTCATCACTCCGCTCAATTCCTCCTGACATTAGCATGTTTTCCACCAGTTTTCTTTAATGATTAACCTCGACTCAAAGTGTTTGTTGTGTAATGAATGGTAACGGTTGACCTCTGGCTGTAAAAATAGTCCTCCCCCTTCAAAGGGCGGAGCAGAACTTGTCCAATTATGGTGGGCACAATCGAGTCTGGAGAAGCGCTTTTTGTGCCAGACTTCGAGAGCAATGTCGAGGAATTCCAAACCCCAGGGGCCAAAACAAATACGGCTCTCAGCCGTTTGTGAAGCTCACTAAGTCAATAAAGTTTACAATAGTGATTAAAGGGCAGCTCTGTAGACTGGGAAATGTAGGACTGGATTTCTCAAGAGAAAGTTGTGTGAAGACGGTCTTAAAGTGCAGCTGGAGCGGTTTTAGTAATATTGTGTTTAAATAGCTGAATCTAGTTGGTTCTCGCATAAGTTTTGCTGTAATTTCAATGGGCTAAGTTGTTTTTGTGGCCCAACACGAAGCCCTGGAGCTGTTAAACTTTGTCTGAGAGTGTATGCTGGTGTTTGAACCCACTGCAGCTGTGTTGGCCTGCAGCGCAGCGCTGAACTGGCCCGTGGGTGTGTAAAATGCCTGTTAAAGATGGCATGCCTGTGCCAGGTGTTGCTGCATCTACAGTGTGTCTATGCGTGTCGGCGTTCCTACGGCTCCGTATCGGCCTATAGGTAGCCTATATGAGCCCGGGTGTTAAATGGCTGCTAACGATTACACGCTTCGAGCAGGTGTTGTGCAGGACGAAGCGCTTTGCGACAGCTGTAAACAGCCATCAGGGATCGGGTCAGCGTCATGTAATGGGCTCCTGTGCAGCCGGGGATTTAGCTGTGTGCATGTGTGTGTGCACATGTGTTTCAGGCCAGCAGAAAAGCAGTCCAGCTTGAAACTGCAGGCCTCAACAAATCCCCCTATCAGCAGGATGAGGGGGGATTTCCAGGAGGGGACCCCAGGAGAGCATGGTGGGATCCTGACGGGGATGGGCTCGCTTTCATCTCACCGACAACTTTATGGCTTCAGAACATTTCCAAAGTTGAACAGCTACAAGGGAGCTTTACTGAAAACATTACATCAGGTTGTAGAAATCTTTTTTTCTGCCGACTCACTGCTTTATGTCCGTGTTCAGCCGTCCTGCACAGAGAACGCTACGGTAGAGCTGAAGGCTGAAGGCGGGACCTACGTTCTCTTATTATATTGATTCATTGACAGATTTTTCATCTTATGATGTCTGGAAAATCTGGTAAACATTTCACATCCCTGGAGTCTGAGCTGCTGTTTTCATGGCCTCATGCGGTTGCTCTAATTAGGATGCGTAGAATCTGGTGTTCAGTATTATCGTGCTCCTGTAAACGCTTCAGTCAAAACTCAAATAATGCAAATATGCTGACATTATAAGCAGGGCAGGCAGGCAGAGAGCCTAATGTAGTGTCCTAATGTGAATTTGGTGAGTTGTTGTAGCCCTAATAAAACACCAGTTTCTTCTCTAGTAGGATCTTAAATGCCACAATGCCAATAACAGCTGCCTGCAGAACATCCATCAGCTTGAAAAGCCCGTTGTGTTGCTGTGTCTCTGCACCCACATGCACAGCAAACAGCGCTTACAGACGTTTCAGTTACGCTCTCTGAGGATTCTAGATTAAAGTTTTAGGAAAGCTGAGCACCTCAGAAATGTGTTGCAATGCAGAGCGACTCCCAGCAGCACAACAGGTTGAGGTGGTTCCACCTGTGGAACACATCCAGAGCTACAGGGGTTTATGACCTGCAGTCAAATCACCAAACATTTTCACCTCAGCCTGTTAAGTGAGTCCCCTCCCATTCGTGTAGGTTCATGGTTAATCGCAGTCTTCCTTAGAGAAAGATGAGCTCCTCCACGGCTCACGGCAGGCAGGCAGGCAGGCAGGCATGCTGGGATCTGTTGCTGTCTTCTTACCAGCTCTTGCTTGTTCTTCTCTCTTCACCTGTACTCATCCGTTGAAGAGTTGCTGAGCAGGCTCTTCCCCGTGAAGCTGCGCCCTGAGCATGATCCTACATCACTGCTCAGCGTACCAGCAGCTGTCTGCAGCTGACCCTCTACGTCCCTATAGGAGCAGCCGGGCCATGTGCCCTGCTCACGGGCAGGCTTTGGCTTTTTCCCCCTCGTTGACTTTTCCCACCGACACTTTGAGTTTGGGCCAGTATCAGTGTCAGCCTCTCACCATTCAAGTGAACTTCATTGAGAAATGCCACTTTTTTCCCTTTTTTTGCCCCCCTGCCCCTACATGTTCTGCCTCGGCCTCATTGTGGAGGCGATGTGAAGTCCCCCTGCTCTGCTCTCCCTGGTAACTGCTTACTTGCAGCGTTCCCAGGCTCGGGCTGGTGGCACGGCTCCCAGATCGAGGCTGGGAGACAGAGGGGTTTCTCAGGAGACAGAACACAAATACAGGGATCCAAATAACTTAATCACCCAACGGGGCTATTAGGCCAGGATCCTAGGGACTTACCCTGGAGAGGCTGTGTTTAGGGAAGTATCTGGGTCTGGATGCACAGTGAAGGTGTTTGGGGGAGTATCTGGTTCTGGATGCACAGTGAAGGTGTTTGGGGGAGTATCTGGTTCTGGATGCACAGTGAAGGCGTTTGGGTTAGCACTCCCGCGGGTCGTGTTCATTTGTGAGAGGTCATGTTAAGATATGCGGTATCTGGGTTAGCATGCGGGACTTTGATTTCGGCGACGTCAAATGGAAATCATCCCTCTGTTCGTGCTTTAAACTTGTATTTATTTAGTCATTCATTGGTTTGTGTTTTTATACATATTTCACTTGTTTGCAAGAAAGTCTCACATGAACAAATGAAGCAAATCTAAACAGAGAAATGCTGATATCATCTGTTTACTGATTAACTTGAGTGTTTTAGACCATGATTACAGCAGTTAGGTGTGACTATGGCGGGACTTTTTCTTTACGTCCAGGCCTGCTCTGCTTCTGTTTATGGCTGTCCGACGTGAGCCCATTCCTCACAGCGACTCTCTCCATAAACATCCCTCTTCACATACAGCCCAGACACTGCCGGCGACCTCCGACCTCTGGAGGATGTCTGTGTAAATATTTTCAGGCAGAAGCTTGATGACTTGCACTTCAGGGCTCTTTGGGGTGATGTTAAAGCCGTGATTTGTTGCAGAGGTCACATTAACCCCGCGACACATCTTGAGCGCGTCTGTTTATTATTCTGAGGCTAAAGTAGCACAGCGGCCGAGGCGCTAACGCTGTTGGCTTTTATGTCGGAGTCCTCTTCCTCACGTCTATTTACTTTCTCACTATGTCGTCTGTCTTTTTTATTAGTTGTGTTTTTTTTCATTTTAGATTTGTGCTTTGTCAAATGTCTCTTGTTTTTAGTTCCTCCATCAGGGCACAACAGTCGGGACAGTAGACGACTGAAAGCTAACAGTTTAGGTTTACAATTCAAACAGTGCAGGCTCCACAGTAGGAGCTCTGTTACCATAGCGTTCATCATTTCATCACAGAGGATCAAATCTTTATCTCAACCTTCTTCAGACTCCATATGTCTGCTTTTATTTTAGGTGACAGGCTCAGTCCTTGTTGGCATGGAGGATACCAGGAAATATCTGGAGAAATGTTCTGCCATTCTTCGAGAAGAACAGTGTTACCCTACCTTTCTCCTTAAAATCCCACTAAGGAGACGTACTTGGCCAGCTCGTAGCTTTCACCTGATTCTTTCTGAGAAACTCCTGTGTGAGTTTTATCAGGCCAGATGACTCCTCTTCTGCCAAGCTTCCAGACACTTGGAGTCATCTTGCCAGTCAGCATTTTGCTATAGCCACAGGCGTTCATGGTGCCATCCGTAAATATCGGCTTTCCAGCCCCTTTTGTTCTCATGCGGCCCGTACAATCTCACTCCCACCTCCTTCTTCACGGTCTGGACGATGCATTCGCTGTGGTACTCCTGGTCAGGTCCACACCAAACATGCTGGACGCTATCTGAGGTGAAGAAGTTTGTCTTGGTCTCGTCTGACCAAACAAGGTGCTCCTGATATTGGTTTTGCTTTACTTTTAGTTTTAATTTAATTTCAGTTTTGTACTGAAAAGCTGCGAGCTGTTTTCATCTTAGAGTCCGTTACACTGTCTGAGCTGCCAGAAACTGAGACAACCATGGATAAGCCGTGTGCCAAGTGTGAAGAACCTGCCCGTCCGTTTTCAGGACGCTGCCCATGGTATCGTTTCAGGAGGACAGACACTGCAGCTCTGATTAGCGGTTCTGTGCCTCCTAATTTCTGGTCCAACTGTGGTTCAGCTTATTGTTTTGCTCACCGGTTGTCCTCAATCCTTTTCCATCTTTGTAAAGTCTCGTAGCCAATATTTTATTTAAAATAGACGCATTTCGTAGGTCCCCAATGAAAGCGTTCTGCTGCGTACAGGTCATTTTACCACCATGCCAGGGTAGGTCCAAACTGCACCAGTACTCGGTTTGGTTTCACAGGTTTTCCAGCTGTGTGTCAGCGATGGAGGGTTTCTTCACTGTGGTTCCACTGAGTTTTTAACTTTGTGGGCATGTTTTTTCAACCTTCCAAACTATTTCTGTTTGACTGTTCAGAAGAGGAAATAGTGTTTGTGTGAAATTAGAACATAGTGCAGGTATTGAGAGGCGATGGCGTTTTGAATCATTTGCCATTTAACTGATGTTACACAGGGACGCACTCCCCTCTGCTGTACAACCAGAGCAGGAAGAACTTCCACCGAGCAGATGTTAGGATGAAATGGCGTTCAGCGTGGATGACTGCATACGACGCACTTATCTAAGATTAACCACATAATGATGTTCTGCGTATCGTTTTTCTCCCTCCTCATTCCCATGAAGCTTTTTGGGCAGTTTCTCTGACCAGTTTGCTCATATGAATGAAAACTTGATTCCCTGAGATCCCTGACAACGTAGATGATGTCACACTAGTGAGAGGAAGGTGTGATCGGCAGCCCAGCAGGTGGCATTTCATCGCATTCACACAGTCACTCCCTCTCTTTCCTGTTTGGATAGGTGCTGAGTGGGTGAAAGATAAAATACATGACCTAGCGTGAGCAAGAACTTATGTCACATGTTATTCTTGTGTCCCTGTTTTTGTCTTTGTCTCGTTTTCATCCAGTCAAAGTTGTCCCAGAGGCAGCAGCGCATGATAAAGAACCGCGAGTCGGCCTCCCTGTCTCGGAAAAAGAAGAAAGAGTACCTGCTCTCGCTGGAAGCTCGCCTGAAAGTGGCGCTGTCCGAGAACGAGGCGCTCAAGTGTGAGAACGGCAACCTGAAGAGACAGCTGGAGGGCCTGCTGAGCGAGGTGAGAGGCTGGAACACCTCCAGAACCTGCAGTCCACTTCTGTGGAGGGCGCAGTTGAAACTCTGCAGGATCAAAAAGACACCGATGCAGATTGTTTCAAAGCAAAACAAGACAGCGATGAACGACACAAACCGTTCATTCACATGTGATTGATGTCTGTGATTTCTACGTTGTACTACCGTGTGCTTCCTTCCTCCTGCAGAATACGGTGCTGCAGGCGACAGCCCCCAAGAGGAGGGCGGTGTGCCTCCTGGTGGTCCTGGTGTTCCTGGTGCTGAACGTGGGACCAACGAGGTGAGCGTGGAGACAGTCCTTTGATTTCGTGTCCACTGGCTGAAAGTCAGTTAAAACTTAAAGAACACAGACGGTGACGGATCCTGCAGCTCAAGACGCATTAAGATTGCTGTTAAGTGTAACATACTGCGAATGCAGAAGTGTTTGATTACTGCAGAAAAACAAACGGGAAGCCCCATGACTCACTGGGAATCAGGCCTCTCGTGGAAGACATTATGCAAAACCTTTATTGGAAACAGTGCAGAACATTTCCTATTGAAGCAATGTGCTCCTTTTTGTGCCACCAGAAAAACAGTCGGTTTGGGAACCGTTAAGGTCTTTGTAAAAGTACATTAAAGCGCCAACAGCTGGGATTTGTGTGTTTGATTTGAAGTGACGAACTCGGCATCACATGAATTCATGATGCTCTCCTTTAGAAGCTTTCAGAGCGACGTCAGAGCATCACGGTGAGTGGAATGCAGTCCAGTAAGGCACCATCTTAGCCTGAAACTGATCTTCCTCAGTTCCTCCATGCCACACTGATGAAGCTCTCTCATGTTGGTGCCAGACTTTGGAGGACTTGGTGACTAATGGGTGAATAAGCCTCCAATTGCTGAGCTGGGTGGCGGCGAAAGTAAACATTCACCACTTGTGACTGTAAAACACGATCTGTGAAGCTGCAAAAGCAAGAAAGGAGTGGAGTGGCAGCTTCTCCTACCTCTGCCTGTAATATTAACAGTTGTGACAAATGCTGCTGAGTTATATAAACTACACAGGGGAGAATCAGAGCTTGATTCCACCCAGCCAGCAGATGGATGGATTGTGTAATTCCACCATCTCCAGCTCACGCCACATCCAACTATAACGACACATTCTCTGTTCTCATTTTTTAAAAATGTTGGTTTCCTGCTGGGAATAACTTCCCCCACAAGGATGCAAGCATCTACTTTTTTGGATCTGGTATGTTTTCTGTGCTGGAAGTGTGCTTTTTTTTCCGTTGTTCTCGTGAGCCTGAACCAGAAGACGTTTGTTGGGACACGTGAATGAGTTTGGTTTTGTGACGGTAGCGGTGTTGGCAGTAGCTGCAGTACCTGTGCTCGCATCTCTGTGTTTTGTGTTCGGCCTCCTCTGGAATGTAGAATATGCGCTTTGAGGTCAGATCCCTTTGAAATGAAAATGCCACCCAGTGTAGTAATACATGGAGAGCAGTGCGTGTGCTTTGAGCTGCGCAGCCGAGATCAGAGTTCAGATTCTGCTTGTGGCTGAAGCACCCTCCTGTGCACAGGATGTGGGCCACGTGGAATCCAGCAGTTATCCAAGTCCTGCGCCGAGCTCTGCTTTAAATCGGCTCACATTAACCCAACATGTTGCTTCACCTGTCTTTTTTGCTCCCCTCGCTCACCTGTGTCTGTTTCCTCAGTCTGTTTCAGGGTGGCCCGGCCTCCAAGCTCGAGGTTGCGTCAGTGCAGCAGAGCGGCAGACACCTGTTGGGTTTCTCTCCTGAGGCTGAAGGACTCGAGCCCCCCGTCTTCAGCAGCCACTCTGAGATGGCCGACAGGTAAAGAGCATAACACCCTTCACAACCCTGTGTTTACCTGCTGTGTTACTCGACCAGGATGCACCTGTGCCTGGGCTCAGTCTGAACCGGTGCCGCTCATTACAGCCGGTGTAAACAGGCAGCCAGCTGGTTACCAACTCTGTCCAAACGTCTGCCTTTTGGACGCCTCCAGGCCTCCGGATAGCCGGCTCTGAGCTTTGAGTAACAAGGTGGGGAACTGGGGTCCGGCCTTGTTTGACATCCAGCTTCATATTGTTCGGAACAGGTTATTTTTTCAAGGCCTTGTATATTTTTCTTTCTTCTTTCAATGCTCTGGAGGCCCAGCAGTCACATTAGTAAATTGCTTCAATAACATTCCCATTCGGTGCTGTACCTGAACCTGCATGTCACGAGAAGGATGTTTTGGAAGGCGGTCGGAGCCTCTGATGTGTCGGCGGCATCGCCGGCCCGCGTTGTGTGTCAGATCGCCGTGTAGGGTATGTCAGACCTTAATGCAAACCATTCATCTGCGCTATCCGCTTTCACGGCAGCATCAAGCCAGTGCAGGCAGGAAGGAACACATTAGCCTTTACGAACGGGGGGCAGCAGCAAACGAGAGGAGGGTGATGGGGGGCAGAGGTGCAACCTAATCTCAGGGTTCCACTGAACAGGAAGGCGTGTGTGCTGGAAGGGCCCCTCGGTTAGCGCTACGATGAGGCCTCTGTGCTCTGACATGTTGTCCACTGGAGTCGGGAACACGAGGTGGAGTCAGCGCGTTGGCTCACATCAGGGAGGCCCAGGGGAGGCATTACGTCGGTGGCATTGCTTAACAAGGCTCCCCGACCGTGGACAGTCTACCTCAGCACCTCGAGCAGCGCAGTGGTCCACTCTGAGCACCTGTAATTAAAGTCAGAGGAACATGTGAGGAGGAAGGTCGAGCACTGCTCGCTGCTGCTCGTCAAGGCTGCATGTCAGCTCCACTAATGGGTTTCGAGCCGTTGTTTTCATCTGTCACCCTCTGGTTTGGAATGCTCTGTAGCGCCTTTATGATAATTGCGAGCAGGATTTGAACTTCCGCCGTCGATGCAGCTCAGTGTTTGTGAGCATATGTTGAGCGACTGAAGCTCTGCCACCTCTGCACATGTCGAGCAGAAGTACAGCTCAGTGGTAGGTCACCATACTCGTCCCCACACTGAAGCCACGCTGATGTCGTTTTTGGTGCTGGTTTTGCTTCCTGTTTGCTACAGAACCAGTCTGGGTGTTTCACCTTTAGCAGCGGGCAGGCAGCCATGTTGGCTCGCCCTCTGCGTTCAGAGCATATTCTCAACATGTGATTATTATTTGAAATTCTTACACAGACTAGAGCTCTGCCAAGCTTAGCACTTTCTCCTAACAGATGTGTGTTTTACTCCGTGTAGCTCAGAGGATAAGGCTCTGATGGTGGTGAAGGATCCTGCCTTTCTCAGACCACCTCCCCCCTGCCAGCCTCCTGTCAACAGGACCAAGTGCATGGAGTAAGTGATGCTGTATTTAACGTACAACCTGCATACGACAACTTGAGACCACAGAATCACCCACGTCTTACCTACAAGTTTAACAAAATCCCCGTTGGCAGGTTGGCCCATGAGTTGAGAGGTTGGGTCCACCGCCACGAAGTGCAGCAGACCAAGTCCAGGCGCATGAGTAACAGCAACCACAAACCCAGCAGGACCATTCTGGTAAGTCAGCGGACTGCTGAAGCTTATAGGGAGTCCAAATGTTTTGGATTGTTGGGTGTCTCTGCCTTTGTTCAGCGCTATGAGATGACTTGTTGTTGTAAATATGTGCTATACAAATAAAACTGAATTGAATTAGGTCACAGCGGCGATTTTTGGAAAACAGGAAAACACGTCTAATGGGCCATGCACACTTTAAACCATATTCATTCTCAGCGAGGCATGAGCGAAGCCTCTGTTGTGTTTGAAGTGTTACTGTCTGCTTGAAGGTCTGGTTGGCAGTCCCAAGCCTCTGTCACCACTGTTCCACCTCCTCTCACACCTTCCCTTTCTCTCCACTGGCCTGACTGTAATCCGGCAGCCCTGAGAAAGTAAACACAACACTTGGAGGGGAGCTGTAGGATTAGTGCCCCCTGCTTCTTTTGTTCCATCAGTTTTTTTTTAATCTGTCACAGCAAGTCCAGTTGCACCAAGAGCTGGCCAGTTAGTATGCACCCCATTCTTCATATTAATGCGAACAGAAAGGGAAGAAAGGTTCGTTTACCGTCAGCCTAGTGAAGCTCCAAAACCTGGTCCTCTCATCTCCATGGAGCTTTTTAATTGTACATCTGCTCGTTTGAAGCGTCCTACGTGCCAACGCGACAGTCTGAATGTGAGAGTAAATCACTCCTTTAATGACATACATGCTCTTGTTGAGTGTTTGCCGTGATAGCCTCACAACTAGATGTGATTTATCAGGAGCAAAACGTGGGACTGGAATGTGTGTGTTGTCTGAAGTTTAGACATTATGCTGGATTTTAATGTTCTGAGTCTGTATTTATGTTATAAAGCGCTGCCAGCAGTTTATCCAGCTCTCTGCAGTGGGTGCTGATGTGATTTTTAAGAGATTATAGCTAATTCTCTTTGTGTTTTTGCTCTTTCCCAACAGAAAACAGCGAATAAGGAGGCTGACAGTGCCCAGATTGTGACGGTCCAGTACACAGAAACGGCTGAGGAGAAGTGAGTAGAAGCATGCTGCAGCACATTTATGTCTGAATCACAGAAGAGACCATTTTCACGTGTTTGGTTTGTCTGCACTTACGGTTGTGTTTTTGCAGCGTCATTACATGAAGCTGCTTCAGTTCCATCGGTCTAGCTGTGTTTCACCAGAGCGTCTCTGAAATCGATCTGTAAAGGGAAACTTTGGGCTGATTTTAACGGATGACCTTTGGCAGCCAATAAGAACCATTTCTACTGTGTAGTTCATATCACACACATGGACTCAATAGTTTTTTGGCAGTTTTTAAATGTTTTTCTCACTTGTAAATCTAGATAAGAACAATCCAGACCTGCAGGACGAGAAAAGCCGCTGCAGGGTGGTAACAGAAAACAAACAACAAACCTTATGATGACGTTTTAACTGGTGGTGCAGACCCGGACTCAGCTTTCAGCCTCCACTGTGCAGTGCAGCAGCGAGCTGTGAAATGGGACTAATAGACGTGACAGAGATGCAAATCAATGTGACGGTTTTATTCAGTGTGTGATTAATTGCTGCTCCATTAAATTGAATTATCTTGTTCTTGCTGCAGGGTTTGAAGTGTTCTGTCTGTATCAGACACATATATTAAATACAACCAATGTGATATAAGTGTTGATGTCATTATCGACATTAAGCGGTTAAAAACATTGTGGATTCCTCTAATAGCACACGGGCGGGCTGACAGACACGTCACACGTTGGCTCCTGGTGTCTGTTTCTAGCTCCACATGTGTTCTGAATGTTTTCCGTTCATTCTTCTGCAGGAATCCCAGCAGCGAGCTGCAGGTTTACTACGCGCCTCGAAACACCTACAGTGACTTCTTCGACGAGCTCCATCGTCGCGGCGACACTTTCTACGTCGTGTCTTTCCGCAGGGTGAGTTTGAACTCGCTCGGTGCTCATTTCTAAGGCGAGAAAGGCCGCTGGCTCTCACGTACAGTCTGATGCAGACGTCAGATTGATCACATAGACTCCAACAAGAAGAGATCTCAGTGGAAGCTGTCACAGCTCAACACTCATAACGTCTAATTCCGTTTTTATCGGTCATAGGATTTCTATTTGTTGAAAAGTGGCCATAAAAAGTGAGTAATTCGTGACATGAAGAGCAGCCTATGAATCATAAGTTGTGTGCAGCAAGTCTGTCCCTCAACAAAGAGTTTTCATGCGAGAGCAAAGGGTCGGAGAGCCGATCAGCAGCCCACACCCAAGGGTGGAACCGCCCGTTTCCAGCCCAGTTCATTTGTCATCACCAGCACCATGTTTTACATTTTCATGTATGACAAAGTGTTAATCTATTTGGTCCTAATTCATTTTTTCCACATTTGAGACTCTGAGTCTGTTTTTTATTTTCTCTCTTGCACGATTATTCTCGGACATTCAGAAAGAGTTTTCGTGACACGTAAGATGTTATATATCCTGTCCGTGTCTTTTCTATCTGCTCTGCTGTCGCTAACAGTGCCAAAAACACACCGTCCCTCTGAAATGCATAACCGTAGAAATACTTTGGCAGCTGTGAGACTGCCTTGTGCAGCTGAGTCCCGTCCTGCTGCGTTGTGGTGAGACGCACAATGTCGCTCAAATACAGCATGTGGCCGGCGTTCAAAACTCAGCGCCTCTGGACGCTAAGCGCTTAAATCCTGGAGACTGCTCAGTGCGGTGGGAGGTCAGGACCCCTCGGTGACCAGGAGCCACGGAGGTTTGGCTCTCGGTCGCCATGGTGACGGCGGGGACCACGGTAACGATGGTGTTCTCACGTTAAAGGCCTCCGCCGGTCAAGTAGGCGTCCTCCAGTTTGAGGCGTCTTTGTGATGCACGACCACTCAGCGTGTTAAAGGTTCCGCCAAAATAAAAGTCCAAACTTTGTATCTGCAGCTTCTCACAGAAAAAGCCTCTTCTCATTAAAACAAATACATAATCGTTCCTGAGGATCTTCTTGAGCTTTTGACAAAAGATAGGAAAAGTATTTGATTATTTTATTTCATATTTTGATGTGTGGATTTGGGGCAGCAACTACCAAACAGCTGTTCTTAGACACTTGATGAACTGGTGCCTCTTTTAATTGTGTAAATTAGCATCAACATATGTAGACAACAGGCCCTGGGCTTCAGAGTGACTGTCTGTCCACATACCAGTTCAACGTCGAAATGAAGGCGATTTTCTTTCTCAGAATAGTTGCTTTGCTAAATGTATGTGAGGAACAGCAGCTCTGTAAATATGTTGTTGTTGTTTTAAATGTGTTTATTGAATCAATAATGTAAAAAGTCAATAAAGACGCATTATTGGGTCAGTGTGACAAAGCCAAGCCTGAACAGTGGAAGGCCACAGTGCCTGGATGCCTGGCCTGTTAGTCATCGTGACCTTATAGTTCTCACAGACCTTTATCAGCCTCTCACTCCGTTTATTTGCCTGTATTTTGTTTCCTGGGTTTCAGGGTGTGTGTGTGTGTGTGTGTGTGTGTGTGCTGTTGTTTTTTTGTTCCAGTCGCTATGATGTTATAACGAATCTGCCAAAGCTCTGGATTAAATTTGGAATTTGTTTGGATTTTAAAGCCAATCACCACCAATTCGGACTTTTGTCCCCGTAGGCAGAAATACTTTTCATCGTGGCCCGGTTCTGCCCTCCCCAGCAGTCGGGCTCGCTCTCTGAACATTATGCTGCGCACTCAGAGTCGGTCATGTTTGGGTCAGGGCTGCTTCGGCCCTCAGCAGATACATTAACACCTGTGTCTTTGCTGAGGTGTGAAATGAGGTGAGGCGATGGAAAAACAACTCTAAGCGAGAAAAACATACGGGACGGCCGCCTGTCTTATTCTACCGTCACTTTGTGGCCCTGCTTCACTTCTCATGTTGTTTTAGCACCTATGGCTTCATGTGAGTGGAAACACTGGCTGCTTTCAAGAAGAATTCACCTGTAGTCATGGCAGCAGCAGTTAGGTCAGCTGGACAAACTCGCCGCTCCCGCCATCATGAGCGCTGATGTGGTCTCCCTCCAGTCGCAGCCACCCTCTCATTTTTAGCATTTAATTCCACCGTTGGAGGCCTGCAGATGATCCTCAATGCCTCGCAGTGCCGTGAGCGTGAATCAAAGTAATGAATTAATTCAGGTGAGATGATAGACGAGGAATGAACGCACACAGGCGACAGATTAGTGCCATTTTCATAAAAAGTACCAGCAACATAAAAGCTTCATTTGGCTGTAGTTCGTCTGCCGACTTCGAGCTTTGCTCCCGTCGTCCGTCAGCTTGACACCCCTTGTTTGTCGTTTCACTGAGTTCTGTGAGCCAGGTGTGATGGAGTTAACCTGCTGCCAGCTGCTAAGCCACAGAGAGCGTTGGCTGCTCAGCACTCATAACAAGCACAACCAATAGCTGCTCAATATCTTTGGTGGCTCTGCAGGGGTTTGATTAATTAACCCTACACGTGGAGATGAGTCAGCCTGCACTGCTTTGACTCTGATTTTCAAAATGTTCTCTGTGAGTCACAAGTTTGCCTTTTCTACATTGTGCTACGTATTTTCTTTGATTCACAGAAATTGCAGGTTCCACCAACTGCTTTTGGTGTTGGGCTGATTTAGATGCTTTCATTCCACTAGTTTTGCTCCTCAGTTGCGTTGTTGCCTTAAAACCGTGGAATGGATGAGTCCTTAGTTTTCAGATGATGTGAGAATTCATTCAGCTCAGCGTCGGCGCTGATGTGGTCACGTGTTCATGCATTCCTCTCCACTGCGCCTCTCGTTGTCTCATGAGTTGCACAAAAGCTATTTTAAGATTTGCAATGCTCGATTCCACTTTGATGTCAGATTTCTGGTGGTCTGATGGCCTAAAAACGGCCCACGGTAAAAGTATAAATACAAATAACAGTGAAAAGAGAATTCAGTGTGTTCTGTGCAACCGCCTGCATGCGTAGAGGTGCAAGTCAAACGCTGTGCCGTCTGAATCAAGGAAACGGTGTGGAGCAGTTAGGAGCATACATTTGAGGGGTTGAGATGCTTTTCCAGCTTGGTCACTTCCCAAACGGACCACAGCATCACAGGTCTGCTGAAGCCGGTGAGGATGCAGGTCCTTCCAGTTGTAAACGAAGCTCCACACCGAGCTCAACAAACACATGCTGCCTCCAAGCCACTTGTGTTTTCCCCTTGATGACCTTCTGCTCCTTTGTTCTCAGGATCATCTTCTACTTCCTGCCACCAACCACAATAAAGGGAGGCGACCCAAGATGTCTGTGGTGCTGCCAGCCATGAACATAAACGGTAAGCGCTGCAGCACAGACACAACAGCTCGCTCAGCACCGTGTAGCGGATGAAAGCAAAGCTGGGAGCAGACTGAGCAGCACGTCTCCCCACAAGAATGCATTACTTACAGCCGAAGAAGCTTGTAAGAGGACCAGAATAGAAAACTTTGGCTTTTTAAGCCTCTTAAGATGATGCTGATGCTTTTTTTTGGTGTTTTGTTTTTCACGTCTACCTCGTTGGAAGGAAGAGTTCTGTTTCCTGTTTAGCTGGAATGAGAGCCCCTCTGTTTATTTGATTTGCCTGAAAGGTTCTTCTGTATCTGGTGTTTGGAGCAGGCTTCTGCTACGCCTCTCAGAGCCCTGTGTCGTTTCTGTTGTGTCCTTCAGCTCTCATTATGCTCACAGGTACATTCAGCAGCACTGCGACCTGTCTGCACAGACACAGACTGAACCACGCATGAACAGAAGAGTCTTTGCTTTTGGCCCTTATTTTTTATTGTTCTTAATTTTAAGATCTTGGGCTTAAAATAATGTCATTGGAAGTCATGGGCCATTCATTCATTAGAAGTATAGCTATAAAGATGTATTTAGATGAATATATTAGATTATGATATTGTAAATAAAAACTACCATTACATGCCGTGATGCCAGCTTAAGAACCTAGAGCGACAACATCTTTCTTTTCATCACCATATTTCCACAAATACCAACGAGGACCTTCATTTACCTCCTGTGCAGAAGATAACAGGCCTTTATTAGAGCCCTTTATATGCGATTCCCTCCGTTTGATGAGTGTAATTAGTCATTTTTTGTTATTGCCCAGTTAGGGCATTCCACTGCAAATACAAACTCAGCACTCCATGTTACCATTTTCAATGAAATGCCCTTTAGCATGTCGTTGGAAAGAAACTCTTCATTTCTAAACAGGCCTTTTATTGTGCAACATTTCCATTTGCATCCCACATGCAACTGCAGCTGGACAGGATGGAAGGACGACAAACCAAAGTGAGCCAGAAGCCACTTTTGTGTCAGTTTGAACTCCTTGAAAACGTACCGGGTGCAGGCGGAACAACGGTAGATCACATTATCACAGGGATGTCAGAACTAATGGATCAATGCTTTATTCATCCAGTTGGGAAACTGGAGGTATCCAGTAGCTCCAATATGTGGCATGTAAGAAAAATAAGGTGCAAATCCTGGTGGCAGAAGAACCAAGTTAAGGTACAGGGGAAAAAGTGAGGGTGTTGGCACCATGAAAATCCATCCATCCATCATCTCTACACCTTAATCCTCACTATGGGGGGCGGAGCCTATCCCAGCTGACTCAGGGTGAAGGCAGGTTCACCTGGACAGGTAGCCAGTCTATCACAGGGCTACACTTAGAGACAGACAACCAAGCACACTCACATTCACACCTACGGACAATTTACAATCACCAATTAACCTCAGCATGTTTCTGGACTGTGGGAGGAAGCCGGAGAACCCGGAGAGAACCCACGCTGCACGGGGAGAACATGGAGACTCCACGCAGGAAGATCCCGGGTGTCCTCACCGGGACGCCAACCGGCGACCTTCTAGCTGTGAGGCCACGGTGCTAACCACTGAGATACCTGCAGCCCTGGTACAATGAAAATAAGAATTAAAAATACTGTAGAGATGCACATTATGCTACAAGCACCAAGAGCGTTTCCACCCGTGTTTCATTCACAGCCTGTGTTCAGTGGACAGTGTTTTCCATTGAGGAGCAGCAGATTACATTTTTGGCTTCACGTCCTTTTTTTTACAACCGTTTTTATTAACAAGGGCAAGAAATGCTTTTAGTGCTGCTTATCCAGAAGAACGTCCAAGGATTGAGCTTCCAGTTCTGCCACCTACAGGCAAGGAACCAAATAGTTTGACAGGGTTAAAACAAGCAATGACAAAATAGTACACACAAATACAAATTAAAGAATACGTCACTGAACACCAAACCCCATATGTTTACATCTCATCACAGAACTCATTTTGAAGCTCAAATCAATGGTTCAGAGTCAAACGATTCGAGGTCTGTCCCAACATATTCATAAGATCCCAAGCATGTTCCAGAGCTGCAGGGTGGCAACACCTTCACAACTTTGTTCTTTGCTTGTGCGTTGTTGGTGATATAGATTTCCTGCTTTGCTTTTCTCGTCAAGTTTGAGGTTCATTCGGTGTTCAGCGTGACTGTGAGTGAGCTGCGAGCCACAGTTTGGCCAAAAAGTCTCCAGTGTAACCAAAAGTACGCCAGACAGTCCGCTGGCTGCCAGTGTTGCACGAATGGCTGCATGATGGTGATGAAAAACTTCATTAGTTTCAAGCAAAAATCAAGTGGACTTCAGATTCCGGAGCGCTGACACAGCTCATCGACCTTCATGTACTTGTGACGGGCGTACTCGCTGTCGGCAGCGCGTCATGGTGGGTGGCAGTCAGTGCGCTTGGTTGCGGTTTCGGTTGGGGGTTGGTTTTCATCAGGCCATTTGAGGAGCAGTCACCCATTTATTTGACCGCTTGCCCTCAAAAACAAACCCCCGGGAAGCATGTTAACATTTATGTACGCCTCAGTCTCTGAACACTTGATCACAAAAACGTCTTCCACTGCCAAATGGTTTCATTTTTTTATGAATTATTAAAGTCTACACATGTTCCTGATTTCCATGAGCTCACCAGATTTTTCTCCATGACCCCTCAGATCTGCTGGATCATCAGTAGAGTTGGTCAAAGTCGGGTTACGGGAGGTTTCAGTCTGTTTCCAAAACCAGAACTATCAGGTGGCTTCATTTTCACCAAGTCTGCGTACAGCGAACTGAAAGAAATCAGGAGGGTGTATGTAGGGCGTGAGCAGCTCCGAAGACAGCCTGTTGTTGTTGGCGGCTTAACCGGCGTTTCAATCAGGAATTATTCGTCCGTTATCTCCGTGTCCGTCTGTGGCAAAGCACCAGCAACTGATTTGATTAGTGATTCAACCAACCCTGAGAGGAGTGACTCAGTGGAATATGAGCCTCCTACTCAGCAGGGAAGATGTGGCCGTTGAGATTTTATTTTTTTTCTGGGAGAGGGGTGTTGGATGAAGATTGATGAAGGTAAACATTGTTCTTGGTTGGCCTTGTCAGGGAGGAATGTTAAGGTCCGTGCTGGTCAGATGGCCCATTGGAATAGCAGTAAATAGTGAAATCCAAGACCTCCTTTTCAACTAATTGTTGAAATGGCCAAACAAAGCTGGCATTCATGGAGAAGCATCAGGTCTGGAAAGACTCTCGAGGGGCGGAGGTCTTTCAGTTTGTATGATCTGCTGTGGATGCCTGCCGAGCGATGCAAATGTAAAACATCGTCTCTGCCGTTTTCAGGCATGTTTGAATCAAACGTCATGTGGTAAGTTTTAGAAAACGGAGCTGACACCAGTTTTATGTTAGGAGACACCACAAGTGCTCTTCGTGGTGCTTCCTCATTGGCCTGACGGTGCTAAAACCCAGCCAGCAGCAGCTGATGAAGCAAAAGATGGCGGCGACTCTCTTTCTACTTCCTCCTCTTCACGTTTTGAGTCCCATGTGACACACAGATGACAGCCTTCAAGTAGCATTTAAGATTGATGTGTTCTTTGTTCCAAACCTTGAAGTGATTAAGTGCAAACGTACATATCTAATTGGGCGAGAGCCTCGCTAAAGTCCAAACGCTGTCGTCTTTTCTGGAGCGTGATTGCTCTACAGTGGAAGATAATTCTTTCCAGCTCCCAGTTGCTGCTCTCCTTCAGGAATGCCGTCCTTCTCCAGTCGCTAAATGGTTTTCATCTGGAGGACGTGGATCGGTTCTGCTAGTCTGGACGGATCGCCTGGTCTGTCTCGGTCAATAACCCAGCGTCGGAGAGGGAGACTTTGATGTGAGCCGTCGTCTGTTTCTGTCTCGCTGCGTGTCCACGGTTCAGAGGTTCTGTTAAAGTTGCTTGACTCCGACCCGCCTGATTTGCTCAGTCGACGTCTCTGGCCCGGCCGTGGCTCCTTATAAGGGGCTGAAGGGTGTGTTTATTTAATGATCGCCGGGGTTTGAAAGTAGCTCAATCAAGTGGAAGCGACATGTTTGGGGGAGAGGAATGCTTCGGGGATGACATCACGTACAGGTGGACGGACCGTGGGAGACGCCGCGCTCTATTTTTACTTGTCTTGACATTGCACATGTGCTCTGGAGCTAAAGGCGGCTTTCACTGGGGTTCAGGGTCGGGCTGCGCTCCACACAGGCTCCAGGGGTCACATTTTCCTACTTCTGTAGTTTAAACAGAACAAGTGCTCTCACATACAGTGCTCTCTCACCACAGCAAATGTTTAACCCTTGCTGCTCTGGACTGCAGAATTTCAACTGTGCAATAAACCCAATCAGCCCAACAGTCCTGGTCCAGCAGCACCCAAGCACCCCTCGTTATTACTGGTTCTGTGTCGATGCGTTACTTGGACTTTTTACTAGTCCTCTTTATTGTAAATACTAGCAACTTTTGCACCTCGTTTCTTCAACCAGCACGATTTGCACATGAATGGCACGTTCAGTGTTTCTCACTGGTTTCCTATTTTTCTGACATGTAACACGTGTGAGCTGTCGGGTAGCATGAGTTTCCCCAAGAGGATGAATGAAACATCTACCAGACTATCAGCAGCTGAATCACGACTGCTGGACTGATGGCAGTACAGTACCGTAATGTCTGGACTACTGAGGCACCTGAATATAAGCTCCACCCACTGACTTTAACAGAAAACCAGGTGTGTTCATATCCAGGCTGCAGTTGTCTCTAAGCTGCAGGTGTCCACGTTGGAACATGAGATATTTATGTTTTAACCTTTAATTAAATGCGTAGCGGTAACATCCACAGATACGTACCGTAGAGGCTTTTTTCTGAACACTTCCTGTAACACGGCTGGTTAAGGAAATAAAACTCCAGCAGCTACCAGGAAAAGTCACTGATGGCTATCTTCATCTTCCTCCTGCACTAAAACCACTAAAGTCGTCTTCTTCAGTGTCTTCAGGAGCTGAACAGCCTCAGAATCACTTCATCACTTCCTCAGTCTCTCTGTCGTCGTCGCTCTCAGCCTCACTTTGGTCTCGAGGCAAAATCGTAGAACTTGTAAAAATCCATAAATTATCCGCAGCGTTCAAAGCGTGTGAAAGAAGTAGCGGCTCATAGTCCAGACATTACGGTAATGACGTTCATGGTTCCCTGGGGATGAGTCGGGCACCATCGTGACAGTTAGATTTTTGTTTTTTCAAATGATTTGCTGTAAAAGGAGCTTTTTAGATTCACATCAGGCTGTGTTGTCACATCCGTTACTGTCCTCATCTGGCATCTCTGTAGACGTTCCTGTTTAGTCGGCTGATTCTCTGGTGAATGTTGGTGTATTATTCACCAATAGCTGGTGCTTTCTGTTGGAGCCTAATCCATCATTTATCAGGGTTTTCCTGGCAGACAACATAATCAGTAGACATGCAGTAAAGACCGTCTGTCACCTTATTTGACAGTAGTCTGTGCGTTTTCCTGTGATTCTGACCATTTGATGAAGAAAAATAGCAATTATGCTTAAGAAAATAAAACCTCAATTAACAAAAGTGGTAAAACAAAACCAACACATCACCTAGCAGCTGTTTGGAAGCTCCCAGATCGTGTAGATTTGTAGATATAAGACACACTTTACTCCATTAGAATGAGCTAGACTGATGGGTTATGTTTTCCATTTATGTGATTCTACTTGTGGATGAATTCCTTCCTCTCTGATGTAAAGAGGGAGGGGGAAGCGTCCTCAGAGTTTGTTCCAGTACGACAGCCACCATCCTCCTGACCTTGGCTCTCAGGTTTCCTCCGATGCACCGTTGCCAGACATTGTTCGTTTATCAGCGTGCACCAGCTCACTGTGTTTGCTGGAACCCTTCCAGATGGCACCAGTAGAAGGGAGAAGAAGGCCGTGCAGCGCGGGACGCTCGCTTTGGCAGCTTCTTCAAAGAGCTGCTGTTTGAAGTCGGCCTCTTGTGTCTGTGTGCTGGTGTGTTTCCTCGTCCGCTGTTCAGGCCTGTCAGGCAGCCGGCTACATACGAGCTGGACAGTTTGGTAATTTGGTGAAAGCTGGATATAAACAGAGTGGGATGTGAGATGTGAGTGCTCAGTGTGGAAAATGCTGCAGATTACAGCCCACACACTGCAGGCTAATGACTGGGAACTTAGAGAATGATTATGGGCTACAGTCATTTCATTTCTGGTCGAACTGCAAAGCTAATGACATTCCTGTTCACTCCAGCTGCAGCGTGTGTTTACAGTAGTGCTGGTTAACAAATACTCAGATGGTGAACACAGTAAATACACCTGCTTAACATCAGCATGTTGGCATTGTCATAGCCAGCGTGTTAGCATGCAGGTTTTAGCATTTAGCTCAATGTACATCTGTGCATTAAAGGGATAATAGATCTACTCTGGACACAACCGATGATTTAGGTTCAGTGTTGGAACATAACTGAACTGGAGCTGTAGGTGGCTCTGTGGTTAGCACCGTGGCCTCACAGCTAGAAGGTCGCCGGTTGTCGTCCCGGTGAGGACACCCGGGATCTTCCTGCGTGGAGTCTCCATGTTCTCCCCGTGCAGCGTGGGTTCTCTCCGGGTTCTCCGGCTTCCTCCCACAGTCCAGAAACATGCTGAGGTTAATTGGTGATTGTAAATTGTCCGTAGGTGTGAATGTGAGTGTGCTTGGTTGTCTGTCTCTAAGTGTAGCCCTGTGATAGACTGGTTACCTGTCCAGGTGAACCTGCCTTCACCCTGAGTCAGCTGGGATAGGCTCCACCCCCTATAGTGAGGATGAAGGTGTACAGGTGAACAGAAGGATAATTGAACTGTAGTTAAAAAAAAAAAAAAAAAAAGAAAACTGTAGTGTTTAATATGCAACAAGATGTGCTGGACCTGAGCCACTGTGAGCTGTTGGCCACAAGAGACCAGGTGGTGGCGCTGAACAGGCCGTGTTCTGTTGCTTATGAATGTAGCTTCGGGTCATTCCATATAAAACCAACCAGGATCGGAAAAACGCTCCCATCTGACCTGTTCATCCTGGTATCGGTTCTAGTTCACAAAGAGACCTTTATTTGCTCTGAACTGTTCTGACCCACCACCGAGCCCACATGCTGATTTGACCCATGAAAGTTTACTCAGAATACACTTTTTATCGTTTCCTGTCCTGATGAGCAGATCCAAGCTATCAGTGCTTGTTTCTGCAGCTTTCTGTGTCAGATATGAAACCGTTGCTGATATTGGACGATTTTTATGCTCAAAGTTAGTTACAGAAAAAAATGGTGATAAAGAAAAGCAACATGTCTGCTTTACATTATGAGTGTCTGTGAGAATGATTTGGCTGCAGGTTTTTAAACAGACATCAAAAATGTTTTCTTTCCTCTAAAAATTTCAGATGCTATCTTCTGCACTTACAGTGATAAGGGCTTAAAAATGCTCCTTCAGCCCAACTTCATGTAATTAGAGGGCCTGTGAATCTGAAAGTATTCACTGTATGAAGGTAGAATTGTGCATGGCTTCCTTTAACCTGCTGCAGTTGTCGTAAAGGCACTGACTGACCCACTCCAACAGTGTATTACTCTGAAATTCTAACTTGATGTACATCCTCTGAGAGCGACGAGTTTGGCTTGAACGTCCAGTAGAGACAAAACTTGGACCTAAATGTAGAAATAAAAAGTCATTTTTGAGCTCATAGATTCACATCCAGCTGGACTTCAGGAACAAGCCTGATTCCAGGTAGACATAGCGTAGCAGAGACTTAAATCCAGACACGGAGAGTCATTTCCAGAGATGCCTGTTTAAACCCTGAAGCCATATGAAAGCTTAGCGGTGGATGAAGTCTTTCTCTGCATTACTGCCGTCTAGCGATGTGAGCATTCGTGGAATCTTCCAGCTGCAGGAGAAGTATTGTATACTGTCTGTAAGATCTGATGAGCTTCTCTGTGCCTCCAAGTAAACGTCTTGGAACATCCCGCTGCAGGTGTCTGGAGAAAGAAAGAAAAAGACTGCAGCTTGGAGCAACTGGCAGGCATTCTGACGACGCCACGGCTCCGTCTCTGGGTCAGAGAGGAGAGCAGTTTGACATGGGGATGTTATCGACACACAAAGGTTCATGTAAATACACAAGAACATGCTGCTAGTTCTGCTTCTAGAGCGTCCACGTTCAAGGACGTTCTCTCCTGCGCTCCAGTAAAGTTTGACTGGGGGAGCCACAAACCGTGACCCACCAGTATCAAGTGCAGTGTCTGTTGTCCAAGTTTGAATTTCCCAAGTTAAAGTACTGGGTTGTTTGTCGGTGAGGCCCTGAGATGGCTCTGTGAGCCGTACAGTATTCATCCTCCACTGGACGCCGTCTGCGGTCGCTGGGTTCAGCCTGACTCATCTGCGTCGATCACTTTCTGTGAATCGTGCCAAACTTTCTTCTTTTCATCTCTTAAGAAAAAAAAAAGAAGAAAAGACAGATCCTGACTCACCATCAGCGATCACTCTCTCCCCCACAGACTTGTTGTCTCCTCTCCCATGTGCATGTCCTGCTCTTGTTTACAGCTGCTTTGTTTATCTCCATGATGGAGAAATCCAGTGTGTGACTCACCTCTGGCCTCCATCTGTAAAGCAGCCTCCACCCGAGCTCACTGCGCTTCTCCCACCGTCCCAAACAATGCTTCTTACGCTCCCAGAATGCAATGTCTTATCACGTCTCTTTGCAAGTCTGCCTGACTAAACAACTCGTCAGTAAGAACGGTGAATAACGGATGCGGTTTCTGTCTTGATTTGATTAAATCTTTTGTCAAAAAACAAACCTCAAGCTGCCGCGGCTAACAGCCTTCGCCTTCTTCTTCTGTCACTGCAGAAAGCATCATACGGGACGAGTTTGAGGTGATGATGCAGATCGACTGCGAGGTAACGGACACCAGGATCCTCCACATCAGGTCCTCCAGCATCCCCCCTCTGCTCCGGGTTAACCACACGGACACGTTTTACCAGCACTCCCCGACCGACAGCAAGGCCGCTCCTCCCGTCGGCGTCCTGATGGGCTCCGCTTAAGATCAGCTGCGCTCTTTGTAACTCCTTAACAAAACCCACAACACAGAATACAAGCTCACTTTTTTTGGTTTGTGACAAATGTTTTATATGTGACCACTCACGCTGACTTCTTATGATTCCAAATGAGCTCTGCAGAAACACGAACACAGGAGCAGCTGGACTGTCGGCCGCATTCTTTAAAGAGGCTGATGTCCGGCGGTGTGATGTAATGAGGTCCGAGCAGCTCCTTGTGTGGCAACGCTGACTTCTCCCTGTAGCCCCAGACGTCCCCCATAAGGGTAATTGTTTAGCGGCAGGGGGCAGAGCGTTGAACCCTGAGTCACCCCGTCATAACACAAATACTTGTGCCCCTAACAGCTCTCCTCCCCGACGAGCTGCAGAGCGTAGACAACAAACTCAGATTGGCTTAGTGAAGACATTAAAAACACGTTTGTGAGAAGCACCCCGGTTTCTGTTTGCATCTCAGCTACTAAACTGTAGTCGCCCCGAGCTCTCTGTCCATCTAAATAAAGTGGGTTTTATTAGCGCGATAGCAAGAGATGCCGGATGAATTACCTGCAGCACTCAGTAAACTCAGGAAGTCAGGTGATCTGTGAAGCGAACCGCTGTGTTGTTGGCAGGTTTCGACTGATTTCAGGATTCCAGGCAACGCATCATGAAGAATTTCAGTGCTGCTGTTGTTGTTGTTGGTCTTTGCACTGTTTCTCAGATTCCTCCACGGATGTGGACTGTACATATTTGTTTGTGTTAGTCTGCAGCAGGACACGTCTGTGGTTTGATGCTGAGGATCTTTCTCCGTCTCGTTTGCTTTGTGGGAACTTTTCATTCTGACAACAGAAAACTCCGACTGACGTCATTCATGTAAAGAAACGGTGGATACGAAGAGAATTCATGCTAAATGTTCCTACCCGGATTAGCCTGCTGGCATTTTCTGCTTGGAGTTGTGATCATTTATGATTTTAGTACTAATTTGTGTTTGCACTATCAGTACAGAACCTGGAAAGCTCGGTTCTGGCTTTAAATGCCTTATATTCACGTGTGTTTTCTCCACCTGTGAACGGGGTAAATTTGATATTAAATAATAAATTCTACATTCTGTATTAGTCGTAGTAATCGATTTCTTATTTCTGGCCAGTCCTGTGTATGCTGGTAAAATGGCATATCCTTCTTTTAAAATGCATTTCTTTCGCTGCAGGGTTGTACAGATGGTTATGTTTTAGCTCAGCAGATGCTCATAAAAAATGTTCAGAAACCTTGTGTTGTTTAAAGCCGGGCTTTCTCTCCTCTCCCCTTCTGGTTTTAGAAGTATATTTGATTCACCACAATGTTTTCACTGCCCTACTTATGGACGGAGGACAAGAACAATTAACGTCTCTGTTTTTTGTACTCCATTATGTGCACAAACCAAAATAAACACTGGATTTTGTCTTTTTGTCTAAGTATACCTGTGTGCGTCTTGGGCTGCTGGGGAAAATCCTAAACTGAAGTTTTTCTTCATCAAGCACAATAGATTGGTTGTTTCTGGGGTATTTTCTACCACAAGAACTATTTACAAGCAGTAAACGTTTTCTAAATGACAGGCTCTGAATGTCTGTATTTGTTCTTTCTGGTCTTTTCCTGCCTGGTTGCTGTCGAACCTCACAGTCTTCCAACTGAATTAACAGTTCTAAACTATAATTAAAACCACTTCGACATCCTCAGCGTTTAGCCAAGCAAAGAAGACATTTTCCGTGAGTGTTTCTGAACTTTATTGCAGTCTTGTCAAAGCAGGCTGATGTGGAGGGACGAAGCGCTTTCACATGACAAAGGGCCTGTGGCATATGACTCAGAGAAACATGAATAAAATGGTGCGTAGTGAACAGAAAGATGGGCTTGTTCAGAGTGTAAGCTTCTATGACTTCTACGTGTGATGATTCTGAGCTCGTTTGTTTGGCAGCATTGCAGTCTGTACAGTACAACCCGATCAGGCTCATTCGTTTTAGCTACAAATAAAAAAATATTGGTAACAATTTTAACACAATATACTGACGTATGTTTGTACATTTGGCCGCCATTTATCTCCAAACCGAAGGCCACGTGGACTGATCTACAATCCATGAAAACTAAAAGGGGTCCACGTAGGCCAGCTTAATGCTGTACGTGACCTGGTGTCCGTTGTCCCACGCGTACAAAACACCCTCTTTGGGATTGTAGTCAATCTGCGTGGTGTAGGTGTAGTTGTTGATGAAGGGCATCCTGGGGATCATCTGAGTGCTCGTGTGCGTGTCGAAGGCGTATTCCAGGTTGGCGTCCCTTCGGTTGTAGCTGTCAACAGCGTAGAGGACGCCGCATATGACGAAGCAGTTCCCAAAGTGGTTCCTCCTGAGCCCGGTTCTCCACGTGGTCTCCCTCTGCATGCTGAGGTCCGACGGGTTCAGTCGGCTCAGCACGACCACCTCCTGCAGGAAGCCCTCGTCGTCCAGCGCCGGGTAGACGATCCACAGGCCGCTCTCGTCCACGGCGAAGTCGATTTGCGAGTGACTGCGCCACTCCCACGGCGACGACGACTCCTCGAACAGGGCGTCGTGCAGCATGGTCCAGGCGGCCACGTAACGCTGCCGCAGGTCGAACTTGATGATGTCTCGGGAGAAGGCTCGGTTGTAATAGAAGGCGCCGTCGTAGACCACGTGGCCGGTGCCGATCCAGTTGTAAGGAAGCTTGTAGGAGTTGGTGAATCGGCCTTGAAAAGATTGACAAGCATGAGATTCATCAAAACCGAGAAAAAAGCAAAGTAGAAAGTGTGGCTCCCGCTGCCGCTCACCTTGTTTGAAAACCTCCAGGTTGCGGAACTCCAGGAGGTTGTTTCCGTAATAGAAGTTTGTGACGTAAATTTTCTCATTATCAGATTTTGGATCCTTCATCCAGGCGCCCTCGTTCCTGCCGTAGGTGTTGTGAGTTACTGGCTCGGAGATTGTTGCCAAAGTGTCCTTACATTCCTCTGTAAAAAAACAACAAGAAGTAAAGATTTAGAAACAGCTCACCATCATCCAGACCTACGTCCAAGAGTCTGGAAATAATCAGAGGCTTTTGAATCACGGACAGGGTGAGGTTGCCACAGAGGAGAGGACAGAGAACTTTAGAAATTTACTCCAGAAAACATCACCTGAATCAGTCCTTTCCATTGGCTAGCTGTTTACCAGCAGATTCATAGCATATTTGTGCGAGCTGAGGTGTTTTCTAACAACAATGGCAATGACAGCAGGTGAAAAAAGATGGTCTACAATGATTTAATATTCACCAGATTTCCTTGGAGCCGATTCTTCCTGCCTTTGCATTGGCTCGTCTGATTCCAGGTGTGGCTCCTTCACCTGTTGCTCCTCCTCCCAGCTGATTTTGTACTTCCGTTTGACTTGTGCCGCCTGTCTGGTCGAGGTTGTGGCTGAAGAAGTAGTTGTTTCTGTCGTGGTTGTGTCAGGAGGCAAAGCTGCTGGAAGCCCAGTCGAGCCTGAAAAGTCGGCGGCGTCGGAGTGTTCCTGCGGTGCTGTAAGAGCAGCCTGAGTGGGAGGCGCTGATGTGGGGGGTTTTGGTGCTGAGGTCGGGCCAGCGTGGGTGGTGATGCTCCTAGTAGACGCTGGGCTGGTAGTTTGAGCTGCTGATGTTGGACTTTGTGAAAGAGAGCTTGGATTGGCTGTAGAGCTGCCAGGTGAGGTTTGCATTTGGTCTTTCAGCTCCGGGTTAGAGGTTCCCCACACAGCAGTGGGGGTGTTTGTGAATGCTGGAACAGGTTCCTTTGTGGCTCTATTTTCTGAAGGTTGGGCTGTGGTCAGTGTAGTTTTGCTTAAAGATGCACCATCTGATTCGGCCACCTGAAGGATTGGCGACTCGGTGACTTCAGCAACTCTTTGTGTTCTCTGAGGTTCAGTGTTTGTCATCCTGCTTTCAGGCGCTGCAGCAGTTGGTCCAGATGTGACGCGTCTCGCTGGGGAAGGGTGAATCGACCCGTAAGATTTTGACGTGGGCTCGGATTCTTTTGGTTTTGCTGATTGACTGGTCTTCTTAGAGTCCTGCAGAGGACCTGTTGACTTCGGTCTGAATATTCTCGGTCCTGCTCTGGTCCTGGGTCGAGGAGCTCTGTGCTGAAGAAGATTCTCCTCGATGAAGAGGTTGACCGGGCCGTCGCCACTGAATCCATGATACTCAAAAACTAAGACAGGACAAGGAAAAGACGGGAATTATGCAACACCATGAGCTGCAAGTCATCTCTGAACTTCATACAAGTTCAAACAAACAATGGAAGCCGATGGATTCGACCCATTTTATATTTCTGCGGTGAGAACAAGCTCAAAGGTGGTTCTGACGGACATCTAAGCCTCTATGCCTTTTTGTCATTGGTCCAACATCAGTAATGTCATCATCTCCACAGGATGAACCCTTCAATGAGGAATTTCTGTAAGTTTCTAATTGGTATAGATCGTTTTTCTCAGCTTTGAGGCAGCTCATGGGGCACACTTACAGTTCTCTCCAGGCTCCCCATCATCCGCCACCATCGGGTCCGACTCAGATTTATAGAAAGTCATCCCTCTGATGATCATCCCATTGGGGCCGGGCTTCGACACCTGAGAGGCCTCCTTATTAGCCACATTTTTGGGAGTCACCTGAGGTCTGACCTCAGTGATTTGACCGGAGCCATCTGTCTGGAGGAGGGGTGGATTTTCCGCCATAAACTTCCCTTCGTACTGTTCCTGTTGGGGACACACAGAGCAAAACTCAACTTCTGTGAAGCAGAAGTCCTTCATCCCAGCAGCTGGATGAGAACAGTGCATGTGTTTGGCCATGAAGCCTGCCAGTATTTGTCAATACTGACCGCTGTGACTTTTTGCAGTCGACAAAAGAAAATTCGGAGTTATGGAAGCAATGAGTCATTATGTGGCAAAGAAACTGTCTGACTACAGCTGGAAGCAGGAGGTCAGTTTAAACTCACTATCTACGCTGAATAGACATATTCATGTAAAACACACCGGCTTTATTCAAGATGAAGGTATGACTACAACGGTGGTACAACAAATCTGAAGAAAGGGGAAACTTTAAATCACAAGTTACCCAAAACATTAGCATTACATCTGATTAACGACCTCGTTCGATGCTTTCTAACAGCTGTCTGGAGAAACATCTTAATCCAGTAAATCAATGGCATGTGTGGTCCAGGTTGACGCGGCGCTGCTGGACAGACGCTGAGCTTCATATGAAGGCTGTCAGGGATCAGGGCTCAGCAGTACCGTCACCGGTCTGAGGTCCACTGCTCCTGCCAATCCTTCCAATTACCTCCAGAACTTTTTTTTTTTTTACACATTCTTGGTTCTTAGTCATGGAGACAATCATTTTATGAAGGAGGTGGTGGAAAAATCACGTAATTATTCCTTTTGTTTTGGAGCAACGTTAGAACCCTGAGCATGTGAATCCAATCACCTCTTTCATGCTGGTTCCTTTTCCAGTCTGCATTTGTGCTTTCAGTCCAGAAGAGATCCGGAACGATCTGACGGGATCGACGGATGCAGCAAAGGATGAAGTCAGGACCAACCTTAGATGTGTTTGTCAGCGCCTTAAAGCTTCTCATTCTTTCAGGAATTGTTTTACAGTGAGTTAGAACTTTGGTGATTTTTGATTTATATGAACACTTCCTGAAGCTTCCATGAATACCAAGCGAGTGTGGCAGCAGGGACAGGAGCTAAAGTATTTACTCACTAAATACGCAGTAATACCTAAAAAAATGAAGGCGGAGCCATAAAAAAAGTGCATGCACTCTGAAGCTGATGGTCGATAATGACACTAACTGCTCTTATTTAAAACGTTCTCACAGCTTCTCTTAATTTTTTTGTACAATTAACCATCTAAACCCCAAACCCACCGGGGACTTGGAAGGCATGTCCTCTTTTGAAAAAATCACCAGACTTCCACCATTTATCAGAGCCAGAAGCTGTAACAGCAAAAAGAATCATTGGATTTTTAAGGTTCTGACGGTCCTTGAACTGCTCATCTGCCACATCTGTCAAAAAATCTCAACCAGTCTCAAGTTAAAATCCTGACATTTGAACAAAAATACTTTTTTCTACATGTTTCAATTAAAAATTTGCCAAAAAATAAATGGTTTAAATTCTGTAAAAACAAAAATAAAAATAAATCCTCTCTCCTCTCTGCAACCTGGAAACCATGAAGGACTCACACGACAGAAATGTCAGCTGAACTGCAGTCAGTGTCTCCACATCGGAGAGCAGCATGAAAAACATGAACAGTCGAACATGTACAGGATGTAGACTCGTCTTTTGTTTTCAGGTATTGGAAAAATATGTTGATTCAAGGTTTTTTCCAATTTCATAAAATAAATAATCAAATAAAATCCACTTTTATGTCGTTCAAACTGTGTCAGACTGCACAAAGACATTTCTGAGCTGCATCTCCTGCTAGCCGTGGCTGTGCCGTCTCAGAGCTGCAGGACTTCATGTTGCAGCGAACAATGAGCCCAGCGAGTGAAAATGTGACGGGAGTAAAAACAGACACATCCAGAAATTGTTTGAAGGTCAGAGAGTTAAAGCATAAAGGCAGCAGTGCTGCTGTTCTTTGACAGTTAAAAGGTTCACATTTTATATCATCCATCCATCATCTCTACACCTTCATCCTCACTAGGGTCATGGGGGGCGGAGCCTATCCCAGCTGACTCAGGGTGAAGGCAGGTTCACCTGGACAGGTAACCAGTCTATCACAGGGCTACACTTAGAGACAGACAACCAAGCACACTCACATTCACACCTACGGACAATTTACAATCACCAATTAACCTCAGCATGTTTCTGGACTGTGGGAGGAAGCTGGAGAACCCGGAGAGAACCCACGCTGCACGGGGAGAACATGGAGACTCCACGCAGGAAGATCCCGGGTGTCCTCACCGGGACGCCAACCGGCGACCTTCTAGCTGTGAGGCAACGATGCTAACCACTGAGCCACCTGCAGCCCCATTTTGCATCAATAAAGAACAAATGTTATGTGATGGCGCTAACTGCAGGCCAGTCAATGCTTCCACCACGTCTGGGTACGTCGCTGCTGCTCTGCCACCACAGTTACACCTTTGACATGAGTGCTCGGACGTCACACTGACCTCTGGGCTTTGATACGCTGCAACTCTGCTGACCTCACTGGGTTTGTCTTCTTCCTGATGCTGCTGTGGAAGCGCAGTAGGTGGCCTCTGAGTCACGTCTGCCTGGACGGGAGGCCTGTCCTGGGGCTTCACCTCATCCACGGTTTGATTCAAGGACACCACCTTCACGCACATCAACATGGACGGAGATATTGAGCATGCTTGATGGAAAACAGGCTGTGGTCATGATTGCTAACAGAAGAAGAAAACTTCTGGGGCATTGCCTTGCTTTAGCGTACGGACTTTCACTGCAGGATGTACTGATTTATTGTTGTAGGAAACGATCACTGTGTTTAATTCAAGTGGCTCATTACGCTTTGACCAAACAGGCCTGTGAAACTGAAGCAGCTAAATGGAGCTCTGCCATCACTCATCGGGTTTTACAGCTGTGCTCTTCCTGCTCTGACGTGGTAACATGTCCTCTGCGATACGGTTTCGGTGCACGTGATGCTCCCTTCCTTCCCAGAATGCACTTTAAGAATGCTCAGTGTTGCCCTCCGCATGTCGCAGCAGCTGAAACTAATAAGAGAAGAAGAATCTATTCATCACGCCACTCTGTAGAAAGTCCTCTCAGCAGCAAGTTCTGTTCAATAAAATCAGGCAGTTACAGCATGTTGCGTGTGTCACAGTTTGCTCTAAGTAACAATATGAGTTAAATCAGTACATCCAGTACACTCAGTAACACCTTCTGAGCCGATTACAGGGAAACTTCACTGTTTCCCAGCTGCTGTATATGAGGTGATAAGAGAACCCTTTGGAAGGATTCTAGTCTGTCTTCATCCAATCCAGTCGCTGCAAGCTGCTCTACAAAGATCACTTTGACCACGTTTGCACCTGCAGCGCGCTCACACAGGTGATCCCATTGGGTTTGCATGGCACCTGGTTTTGCAGCTCGGTGGTGAAACGTTATGGTTTATGGTGTTCAGTAAACTCCAGCTGCTCCACCCAGAACTGAAGCCACTGTGTGAAACCTGCTTTGAGGTAAATTGGAAGACTTTCCGTACAGTTTTAACACAAAGAAATCCTCCGTTTGATTCGGATTTTCTCTTTTTCTGCATTAAAAGTTTCTGTAAGTGTCTTTCTGTTGGTTCATAATTCTTATTTTTAACTTACAGCTGCTGCCCTGATGTGTGTCACATGGCTGAGTGCCATTTATTTCTTCATACATATTGAAGAAGCCCCGCTCTTCATGCTATTTAATTCAAGCTAAACATTTTATTGAGTAAAAATTATTTTCTGGACCAGCTAGCAACCATCTCAGAGATGCTTCCATCTCTCTCAATTTGCAGATGCACTAAGGAAAGACTAAAGAAGGATTTCATGGGATTTTGAAGGGCTCAGTGCTCTGGCAGATAAAGCTCCACGTGTAATGGAAAGTGAGCTCTCGTTTCAGGCTTCAAGTCTGCAGACTGTCCCAAATCAGTTTCTTTAATTGGATCCGGTAAATTAGAGCCACCTCAACAATCACAGCTGGTGCTACAGCCAGAGCACACACTTGTTCTACTTTGAACGCTGTTTCTGTACCTTTTCGATGTTCTCCACTCGGTCCAGGAGCTTATTGGTGAGCGAGTGCAGCTTCAGCAGATCCATGCCATAGAAGGAACCCTCCAGCAGCTCCAGGATGGTGGACAGCTAAAGGGATCAAGTGGACTCCGTCAACAGACTTTACCAATCAAGACATGTCATGCGTAACAGTAGGCCCATTCACACGGAGTCTCTGGTTATGGATGGACTATGGAGTTATCCTTTCAGTGAATCTGACAAACGGACACATCCGTGACTCCAGCGATCCAGAGCTCCCTACAGACCAACAGGCGGGAGGAGGACAGCACGTTCCTCTGGAACCTGATGACTTAAGGACCGGGAGCTCTGGCGTGCAGCATGAAACTTCACCTTGACATTCTCTTTTCCAGCCTCCCTAAGCCTTTTTAGCCTGAACTCTCCCTCGCACGGGTTCACCGCTGACGGAGGAGCGACGCAGGCGCACTTGCACTCCGGTCCGGAGGTGATGGTCTCCACGGTGTAGAAGTCCTGCGCAGCGGCGCGTCCTTCTTCTATCCGCCGACAGGCGCTCCTGCTCAGGGGTCTGACAACACATTTACACCGACAGTCAGAGCCTTCTGAGAGGGCTTTCACTTTGTCATAATCACCCAGCAGCTACAAGAGAAGAGGACGGACAGAGTTTCCACCAGACACGTTTGAACTTTGACGCACAAAATGATGAAATATGCACCAAAGAAAGAGCGTCGGGGTGCGTGTCCTACCTTAGAGAGGATGCTCTCCTGAGCCTCCAGCTCCTCTTCCAGCGTGCCGGTGTCCTCTGCCCTGCTGTCAGGCTGAGGTCCGGACCGTGGCGCCGCAGAGCCCCAGTGGAGCAGCGCACAGCACATCAGGACGGTCCACAGAGCGGACATGCTCAGTGAGGCTCAGAGCCAGAGCAGAGAAAGCAGAGCCGCGGAGCGCTCAGCTGCTGCAGCTCGTCATAGCTGCTTCTGACTTCTAAAAATCACACAAGTGCATTAAAAATGTCATCTAATGGAGAGATTAGGTTTCACAGCGCGCTGCCATCTTCAGACAGAGTTCTACTGAGTCCAGAGTCCGTCCAGGCTGCAGGAGAACATCTGCTGCTGCTGCAGGAGGCGGACCTGACCAGACTACAAGGAGGAGCTGAACTGCTTCCAGCCTCCTCCAACATGATCTGCAGCTTTTGACTGTGAGCTTAAATGCAGCCTGAAAGCTTCAGTCTCAGCGTCTCTGTCAGAGCGAACTGGTGTTTAACAGTCACAAAACATCGTAGTCTCACTTCAGCCTGTTGCATCATCTCACGGTGATGCTGCTCCGCTGCGTCCCGCACCAACAGTCAGCTGAGGGTTTGCTGCCCTCTAGCTGCCGCACTGTTCACTACAGTCACAAGAAACACAGCACCTCAGATTACAGAAAGTTTATTGGTATTTAAGGCACATTTCATTGATGCACGTGTCCTCCATCACTGAACCTGTACCAGCAGTGTAAGGCGCGTGGTGCCGTCCAGGGCTGACAATCAGAGAAGACATTAGTCATAAAAACAGTCAACCTGTGCTGTGGTGCCGACAGAACAGTTCTGCCTTTTAACTCCATGTGATCACTGGCCACAGAACAATCAGGTTTTACATCAAATAACATGGAAGTGCAGCCGTTAGCATTCAAACTGACACAAAACCCAAACAAGTCCCTGATTCCCTGCATGTCGCAGCCGCTCTCTAAATACACTTGATCAACAGACGAAAAGAGTAAAGTGCCACAGCCGTTTCATCAAATGAATGAATGTTCATATCATTTTAACAAATATCCTGCAGCTTCATGAGTCTGCTTGATGTCTTCATTTGTGATGATTTCTAATTGAATTTAGCAAATGTAGGAAACCTGGATCTTTAAGCCAGTGCTTTGGCCCACAGAGACCAGAGTCACCAGGGAGAGGTCCGACCCATACTTAGCGCTCAGACTAACAGTTCAGACGGCTTCCTGGTTACGTCCTTGAGCAGCCTTCATGCTCCATCCTGTCCTCTGCTGCCACAGGCAGGATGAGGTGAGAAATGCGGCTCCACAGTCCACCGTACTTGTCAAGGTCCATCCTGTCGAAAGACACAGGGTGGCCATGCGACAGAAACTTTTTCTGAAGGTGGTCGTCCACCATCTCCTCCACGGCACTCAGGCGGATCTCGGCAGGAATCTCCTGTTCTTCCCCCAGAAGCACTGTGAAGATCAGAAATGTTTTCTTGTACGCAGCATTTTCGTGGTCACAGTAGCGATAAAAAATAAGGGTGGAGCCCGGAGGCAGCTCTTCGAAGCGATGAATGACCGCCACGGGTTTGTCTCCTTCAAAAGCTCCCTGCAGCTTGCTGTCAATGTCCAGTTTGACCTGGTCGCTGTCCTCGCTGGCTTTGCTGGCTCCATCGATGTGGAGGACGGAGGCGTTGAGGGCAGATGAGAAGGCGGAGGCCAGACCCCGAGCCAGGCAGTGCAGCGTCCTCTCAGCCCTGAGGCCGGCAGTCAGGATCAGGCTCACCGGCTCTGTGGGCTGGGCCGTCTGCAGGTGCCTCTTCAGGTGGATCCTGCTCCTGTTCCACACTTCAGCGCGCTGGTTGGGAAACTTAGTCTTCACTTCTTCCATCTGCTTCAAGAAGATGTCGATTTGCCGCACATCGCTTTTCTGAGGCGGAGACTCGGGTTGGAGGAGATACTGCACCGAGACGGCAACCAGTGCCACGACAATCACTGCTACGAAGAGTCTTATCGTACCTGTGGAGGAAAGGTGGTAGAAGATGCTGCTGTTATTTCAATCACACATCAAGTGGTTAATGCATGAAGGTAACGTTCTATCAACTTCTTAAAATAGGATTACTATTATCACTTGCGCGTCTCAAGTTGTTTACACCACATACTACGTAATTTTGAAATAAATACTAGTTCTGGTTGCATCAAACTGCATCACATGTCGATAGAGGACAGTTTATTTTTAGTGACAATCACTGAGACGACAGCATCACGTTATTTTCTAGCAATCGCCACAATATTAAAAACAAGTTAGACTAAACATTAAACTGAATAAAATCCTACCTCCAGGTGCTGTAGATTCAGAGATCTGTTCAGTAGCAGGGCCGATGGTTTCGACATCATGTCTCTGGTCCTCTAACTCTTCCTGTGGTAAGGCTGTCTCTGCTGAAGCTGGGCTCTCCTCAGGGCCCTGAACGTCCACTGGAGCTGAAGTATCCTCCATGACTGATTGGTGACAACAAAAGCCTGATTAACACAAACTAAAACAACTTCAAAAGAAAAAAGCCTAAAGCAAACCACTAATGAGTCACAGGTGCAGCTAAGAAGTCAAACCAAATTGAATTTCCCTTCTGGGATAAATAAAGTATTTTTCATTTCATTCATTTCAAACCGAGCCGTCCTTATTAATGCAGCACATTTGAAGCAACAGCTGCTGACTCAAAGTGCTTTCCATAAAAACTAATCGATCTAAAAACCAACCCAACAAGTTAAATATTGAGGGTTCACTGGTACAAGCGTTGATTGTTAGGGTTAAAACTGTACCAAGACTACATGAAGTACAGCTGTGCCTGTCTATAATATACACGAGGACAGGACACTGAAGTGAATTAACTCTGGAGATCAATCTGACTAATTTACAACTAAAGCAATACACATGAAAACTAAACCAATCCAAAGTGCCCTGGATTCTTTATGGGAAAGGTTTGATGTGAGTGTGCTTGGTTGTCTGTCTCTAAGTGTAGCCCTGTGATAGACTGGTTACCTGTCCAGGTGAACCTGCCTTCACCCTGAGTCAGCTGGGATAGACTCCGCCCCCCATGACCCTGGTGAGGGTTAAGGTGAAGAGATGATGGATGGTTCATATTGTTTTGTGGGGGGCCTAAAAGCTGAGGACTCTGAAGCAGAAAACTAATTGTACAGTCAGTGAGAATTCAGGAAGATCACACTCACCCTCTTCAGCGTCAGTGTTGGTGACGTTCGTTGTTTGAGGTTCTTCATCAAGTCCAGGTTCATCTACCTGCTCGTCCTTTCTGTCACCAGAGCTCAGTGAACTGCTTGCTCCTGGTGCTTTCTCCTCCTCATTCGGGTCTCCTCCTGATAAAATGAGAATACTTTAACTTCCACCACTGAGTAAGCATTGGTGTTGCTACATTCATCCATCCATCCATCTTCTCCCGCTTATCCGGAGTCGGGTCGCGGAGGCATCAGCCTGAGCAGAGCCGCCCAGACTTCCCGATCCGCACACACCTCCCCCAGCTCTTCTGGGGGGACCCCTAGGCGTTCACAGGCCAGCTGGGAGACATAGTCCCTCCAGCGTGTCCTGGGTCTTCCCCGAGGCCTCCTCCCGGTGGGACGCGCCCGGAACACCTCCCCAGGGAGGCGTCCAGGAGGCATCCGGAAAAGATGGCCGAGCCACCTCAGCTGGCTCCTTTCGATGTGGAGGAGCAGCGGCTCTACTCCGAGCTCCTCTCGTGTGACTGAGCTCCTCACCCTATCTCTCAGGGAGCGCCCGGCCACCCTGCGGAGGAAACTCATTTCGGCCGCTTGTATCCGCGATCTCATTCTTTTGGTCATTACCGAAAGAACAAGGTGTTGCTACAGTCACAGCTAAATGAGATCTAACAGGTTGTGCAAAAGCTGCCTGTTCAAATAAGACCACAAATACACTTTAAATTAAATGTGAGATGGATTGTGCATAAAAACGAGAATGCCAAAGTTATGTGATTCGGCTCTGTTCGGTGTATTGCCACAAACTCACAAAGAAGTGCTGTAAATTAGGCAACCAGCTGCATCCCATGGACTGTAAAATAGTCATTAATATGAAGCACAGCAGTAAATAAACTTACAAGTGACTGAATACTTGCAACTGAGACAAACAACACTGGCTGGAGGCCTGACGCAGGCTCTACAAAGCTGGCTGGTGTAACAGTTGAACAGGAATACGAACTGGAAATGAGCGTTTCCTCAGTTCTGTCGTAATCTCCATGACTCTGGTCATCAGCTTGGTGAAGGCTGCTGCTCCTCCTGCTGTCGTCGTCTTCTTCTGTGGGAGGCACCATCTTGTTTTCAGCTGAGTCCGCGTCTGCAGCAAAAACAGAACTAAGTGTCATCTAAGTGAGAGTCTCACTGAACTCGTGTCATTTTCATCATTTGTGTTCCAGATTGCACACATGGTTAGACTCATTTGCTTTTTCGTTCTTACTTTTAACAGCCTGCTCCACGTTTCCACCATCGTCGTTTACAGCCTCGCTGATTAAAGATGGTGAATCTGAAACTTCTAAAGTAAGATAAAGGCCATTTGAGATGAGTCAGGTTGATGCAGAGACACGCTTGTGAACGGTTTACATCTGATTTAGCTTCAGTAATTTACCATCTGAGGTTTGCTGCTTCGCATCGGGCACAAGATCAGCTGGTTTGCGCTCATCACATGCTGCAAGATCTACATTTGTACAATGCGGTACTTCTTCCTTGAGATCTGTAAGAAATTACAGTAACATAAGACATCAATGAAACCGTTAAGTGTGTTCACTTTGCTGTTGGCGTTTCAGGACCTGCTGCGTGCTGCTGGGAGATGCCTTCCTCTGCCATGTCTTCGGATGGTGGCTCTTCACTCACATGGGTTCACTGGACGGCTCAAGGCTGAAAAACATTTGTTTATTACATTACATCAGTCATTTCTCAGCTGATTAGTTATTAGTTTCATGAGGTGAGTTGTCACATGTTCAAAGTCCAGGCTGATGTTGTAAACCAGCTCAAAGGCAGCCTGCCCCACACCCACACACATGCTCAGCTCCTCACTGTTAGCAGGAAGCAACACAACAACAGACGAGTAAACTCAAAATTGCACTCGTTGAACTGTTCACGTTGATGATTCCCGGGTTTTGCTAAATAATATTTGGCGGCTAACGTGCGACTAAACTTGCTGCGAGCACTAAGTGAGCAAAGACAACCGAAGAGGACCGAACAGTGACTCGGTTTGCTAGCTTAAATGTTTCTAGAAAAAGCTGCTCACCAGTAACAAAGCTTTCATATGCGACAGACCCATACTCTTCACAATCATGAGCCCTAGCTAACCAGCTAACGGGTCAACTGTCAGACAACAAAGCTAAGCTAGCTGAGAGGGGCTAACAGTTAGCAACGCAATAGATAGGTTTAGCGTCAAAGAATTCCCTTCGTGTAACTTAGAAACCACGTTAATAGGAGAATATTTCTGGTAACTAGTCCATACCAAACGCATCCTCGATCACATCACCGTGGATGATGACCCATATCACGCTTCCTTAGCTCTTGTCAGTTCGTGTCGCACTGACAGATCGATAACGTCGCGGCGGAACCTTCAGCAGCTCCTTGTTTCTACGGAGATCGCTGAATGTGGCGCCTCTTATTTCCGGTTCCGCGTCCTGTCGCGAAATGTCTCCCCTAACAAATATAGGGAAGTCGATTGCTTGTCTATTTATGGACACGATGTTGCGTCGTATTTTTTAATTTATGTTTCTGGCGTCGCTCGGTCCAGTTGTGGTCTTACATGGATTCCAAGGTTTCTGAAGGTAAAGTTTCCCGCCCCTTGAGACGGTCGGCGCGGCAGACGACAGTTAAAGGTGAGCAAATAGACTGTAGTGCCCGTTAGCTAGCTTAGCCTTCAGAGCTAACTGACTTGAGCTCACACAAAGTTTAACAGAAATGTATTTGAATTTTTGCTTTTATTAATATTCGCTGACTGTTTTAGTTGGGGCTGTCCTTAGACTTCACACTGACACAGAATAAACTTAGTCATTAAATACGACTTGGTCCCTTTATGGCATTCTTGTTTATCTGTTATTTTGCCAACAGTGGTTGAAGACGCTCACTCCTTACATTGATTTTTTTCCCTGTGTTTCTCTTTCAGGGCCTGGCTTTGAAGCGACCCCTAGGAGTCCTTTAAAGAGGACCAAAAAGGGGTTAGAAAACAAAGCTCCTGGTGCAGCAGTCAATGGCTCCAAAGATGAGGAGAATGACTCGGAAGAGGAAGGTGAGATACTCCCAGTACTTGCTCAGGTACCACAACAGGTAACCTTCAGTCTGCGCTGTTAAAAGCAGGGTAATCAAGTGGGTTTTGTCTGTTACTTAACAGAGCAGCCACGCAAGAAGAGCCGGCTGGACACTGGAGGACCGGTGGACGGCAGGGGGGATGAAAACGAGATGGATGTCCAGGAGTCAGCTGAAGCCATGGAGAAAAATGGAGACCAGGAAATAAATGTTGGACAGGACAGCCCTCCTGACACTCATCTGCCAGAAACGCGCCAAGGTGAGGGCTGCAGCTATTCACCATTCAGTGTTGGTGACACTGTACATGTTTCGTGATTGTTGTTGTAAAATAGGAAAACCTAGTTAATAATGAAACTGACATAAAACACAGGCAGCAGATTCTCTTATTGGAGAGGCTGGAATCAGCCAATATTCAGGGATTTGCGTGATAAACAACTGATTAGTAACAGCCCAACCACATATCACGTTTACCACATCATGTTTTTCTGCCGGTTGGCTGCTTGAACACCAGCCACGGTTAACGTCATGTCCAGAGCGTTTCAGTCATGAGCGTCCTGTGCTGCCTGTATGTGGAGAACACAGACTGCAAAGTGGAATTTTCTGTGTCACCTTTTACTTTCACTTCCACTGTTTCTCTTTTGTGTTGGTTACCAAAGCTTCAGGGACACGTTTCAAGCTGTTTTGCATTAAGGTCCCATCAGGAGCGTCTCTACTGATAGAGCCACACTCATTTATTCCTGTGTGTGTTTCCATATATCTGCTACCGCGTACAGCTGCTATTAAAGAACAGACGTGCCGTCTTATGTGATGGCATAATACTTTTATTCAAATGAAAGTTTTGACTCTGTTTCAATCAGGACATGTGGACTTGAACGTCAACGTGAACTTCAACCCTTTGGTAGTGCTCGGCGAACGCTGTCAAACCAGTCGTACCATAAATGAAGACTCGAAACCAACAAACAAAGGTAGGACAACGCTTCATTCTGCATACAGAGGGAGGTTAACTGGGCTGACCTGACCTGGCTTGTTTGTTTTCAGTAAAACCATCAGCAGAAGCACCTGCACCCCCCACCAAGCCTCCCATGCCGATCAGACCACCAGCAAACAGATACGATGCGCCGAAGATCACCAGCATGGCCGAGTACAGGAGGACGATGGAGGGCAAAGTCAAGAGCACTGGTATGGTACTGTAGATATTCCTGTTAAATGGACTGACATTTCTGAAAAGACTGATTTTATTAACACACTCAGCCTCATCTTTAGCTACACCCAGAGTGAACCACCTTGTTCCAGGCGTGTATCCAGCCTCGCAGAAATCCTGCACAATGAGACAACGAGTTAATGACATTCCAACGCAGTCCATTCGTCACAAAAAACAAGGTATTGCAGCTTCAGCTGAATATTTCCGTCCTTAATAACATCTGATATAGCTGTGCCATTTTTCAGCTTTGATGTAATGAGATTTCCTCTTTTAGAAGGGTTAAAGAAAGCTGCTGTCGCCAGGAGAAGCTCTGGGAATTCCTCCAGAGGTAAGCTGTAGTCCTGTGCATTACACTGTCTTCACACCTTTCAGTACTTTCTCTAGTTATTGGCTTCAGTACATTTGAATGTATTCTTGTGTCCTTTCAGGATTCAAGTGGTGTTTATGGATTTTGGTTCTGCTGGTTCTGCTCAACTTTGCCACCTTTCTGGCATACAAGTTCATTCCTGTACTCCAAAAGAGGGCAGCTGGTGGGGCATCTCCATCCAGGGTTGTAAAACCAGAAGAGTTTGCTGATCACTTGTCTCTTCTTGAGACTCAGTTCCCCAGTCAGCGACCTGAGCTGTGGAAGAGGAGCAAGATCCACCTGGAGAAGCACCTGAAAACAGCTCAGCCCACAGAGCCAGTCAGTCTTATCCTCACCGCAGGCCGAACAGCTGGGAGGACACTTGGCTGCCTGGCTCAGGCTCTGGCCTCTTCCTTCTCATCTGCCCTCAACGCCTCCGTCCTCCACATCCATGGAGCCAGCAAAGCAGGCCAGGACAGCGATGAGGTGAAGCTGGACATTGACTACCAGCTGCAAGCAGCCTTCGAGGGTGAAAAACCTGTGGCAGTCATTCACCGTTTTGAGGAGCTGCCTCCGGGCTCCACCCTTATTTTTTATCGCTACTGTGACCATGAGAACGCTGCATACAAGCAAGTGTTCCTGTTGTTCACTGTGCTATTGCCTCAAGATGAGGTCAGCGCTGAGCTGAGCCTAAAAGAGGTAGAGGAGATGGTGCAAGACTATGTTAAAGAAAGGCTGGTGGGGTCCAGCAGCCAAGCTGCCTTCAATAAAATGGATACTGACAAGTATGGAGGACTGTGGAGTCGCATCTCCCATCTAACCCTGCCTGTGGTGTCTGAGGAGGAAGTGGAGCAGAAAGGATGCTGATGAAACAAGGTGGCATCTCGCAAGATGTCAGATTACCACATTGGACCAGACTGGTTGTTCTTAGCGTTGCGCAAGGAGCTATGAGACAGAAGTTACATGGAAATATACGTCTGCTGTGATGTTTCACATGTAGACAGCTTTGTAAGTGTTGAAGGTTGTGTTCATATCTCATCACAGGTGAGATCGTGCTCAAGTCACAGTCAGACGTTCATCACACAGTTTGACTGACAGAAGATGCACAACAGGTTTTACATCGTCCACATGTACAGACTTGGCGGTTTTACCAACCGTGTTGCACCGTCATTCAGCTTTTAAAGTCAAATGCATTTCCTGATTCAGCGTGTTTGCTTTATGATGAACTTCCCATCTGAGAAGAGTTTTTGTTCAGCTTGAGTCACACCAGGTCCTTCTGTGGAACCAACACATGCTTCATTTTCTGAGTGTTTTTGTTTTGTATCCAATCTCTGAGACGACTGATGGCCCCATGGACGAGTGTCCCTTCCTTCATTCCGATGTGTGAGCATTGGATTAGTTTTGCACTGAACATGTTTGTTTTTGCTTTAACTGTTCCTCCCATCGATAGTGCTGGCTTTTATGAAGATGGATATTTTATATGCTTTGTTTACTTGTGATGTTTCCTAGTTTTTTGATAGTTGTGTGTGTGTATATATATATATATATATATATATATATATAGGATAATAAAAGGTTTGTTTTGTGAACCTTTTGTCAAGAAACCACTGAATTGTACCTACAATGTTGTCCACTTAATAACCTGCAAGTTTTTGAATTTGTAAAAATGTTTTGACTGAACAGAAGTCACAAATTGTGCCTTAAACAGGAAGCTGAAGGTTAAAGTTCTCAGTATCTTGATGCTGCCTCCTGACAACATCAAAACTCAACAAAGGTTTCTTGCTTTTAAATCTTTCTGATTTGTGTTAAATCCACATTTTCATGTGGGGTTCTTCTCAGTGAAGCCACTCATTCCTCTTATGTCATCATTCTGATACGTTCTGTGCTTTTGAAAACCTGACTGTTTTCCAATAAAGATTATTTTGATACCTAGAAGAGTGTGTGATCTGTAAATGTAATGCCCTGACGTACATTTATTGCTAATCTAATGTACGTATGTGAGCAAAGCTTTAGTGGTAAATCTATTCTCACGATATTTGTGGAAACTGTGTGATAGGATTGTAATGGATTGTCCTGCTTTGTGTTCCATTGGCAGTGAACTCTGCCTTTATGACCAATGTCACAAGCGAGGCTCTGTGCACTACAAGTGTATTTATGGTCCATCCACCATCTATACACCCCTAATCCTCTGGAGGGTCACAGGGGGCGGAGCCTATCCCAGCTGACTGTGACCAAAGATGTCGATATTTCTAGTAACTGCTGGAGTTTGTTTTATGGACCTAACCTTTCCTATTTCCTGTGGTGCCCCTGTACTGCAGATGACCGTGTCGGATTCGCCGTCCTGCAACCTCGCATGCTGTGGCTGGTTGGTGAGGCGGTCCATAATCCCAGCTGTGAGGTGGTGGTCCAGTGGGTGCCTCAGAAGCGTGGGCTGTATGGTATTAGAAGCACTTGAGAAGTCAAAAAACAAGATTCTCACAGAGCTCCAAGCGTTTTCCAGGCGAGAGAAGGATCTGTTGGCAACATCATCCACCACAATGCCAGTTGATAGGCCAGCTGTAGCGGGCCCATTGATGGGCTCACCAGGGGACCAGATGGACGAGGACCGGCCCTCCACAGCCTTCATTAGATGTGGTGGATGAGGGGTCTTCCACAGCTGTGGGACTCTCCCCAGTCTCAGGCTCAGGTTGAACATGTGCTCAGGGATCCTGCACAGCTAGTCTGCACAGGACTGAACAAGCCTGGAGCTGATGCCATCAGGACCTGCAGCCTTTCTCCTCTCTGTCTTCCTCAGCTGTTTCCTGCCCTGGTCAGTGGACAGGGACAGGCTCAGCAGTGGGGCTAAGCGTCAGAACAGAAGGTGGTGTGACGAGGGATGGCATGTGTTCAATCTGACATGTAACCGGTGGATTCAGTTCTACGTTGTGTATTCAGAACCGAGACGTAGACTGTTTTTTCCCGTTTATTACAGAGCTTGACAGCTTGACAGCTGATAAAAAAAGCAAATAAAATCTTCTGTCAACTCACAAAATCTGTTCCTGAACAGAAACCCAACAATACATGAATATATGAGACCAGGAGAGTGGAGCAACAACCATGATCATGTTAAACACACAAATTACAGCAGGACAATCTCTGATGATTAGTCTGATAATCACACAAATATATCAGTTTGATCTTCTGATTAATAACTCAGTTATTAACTATAACCTAGTTATCATACCAAGGTCTTTGGAGGTCTTTGTAGTAGCAGCAGCAACACTTAGACCAGCAGATATTCAAACATTTTTTAAACAAAAATAGAAGAAAAGTACAAAATAGTGACAGAACAGATGCTTGTGCTTATAGCAGGATGACAGAGTGTGCATGTCTGGAGCACACCACAGACAGTGTGTGTCACTTTGTTCTACCTTCAGCATGTGTCCAGGTTGGAACCATAGGTGGCGCCAGGGAGGGGCTCGGTGGTGCTGTAGCTACCCCTGGGATAGCCATAGCACCCCATAGCACCCCATAGCACCCCCAAGACATACAATTTAAAAAAGGGGGGGGGGTTATTTACATTTTTTGACGTGTGAATATGATAGTTTGATGTCTGGTTAATTAATAAATACATCAGTAAAACCATTTATTTAGTTTTTACTGAAAACCAGTGTGCTCTGATTCAGCCAATGACTGCAGCACGTGCATTAACCTTTGACCTTACCACTTCCTGTTAACCAGAGCGCATTTTTTCGGTGACTGCATAACGTAGCGCTAACGGCTCCTAAAACGTCCTCGTGTTGGAACCAGGAGTGAACGGGAAGGCGACATAATGCCGACTTTCACTGAGGAGGGCGAAGAAACGCAGAAGGATGGAGAAGAGGAGGAAGCAGATGTGCAAATGCACCTGGCCAGCTTCCTACCGAAGATGCTCGCCAAGACATCAGCATCCCTAAAGAGTCACCATCAAAGTGTGGGATGGAGATGTGGAGCGATCTCAAGCAAAAACAGACAAGTGATTCAGAAATAGCAGACATGCTTGACAAGGGGCACATTTCTGTTCTTCTTGTGTGAGAAACACCAGTGGAGATGCTCGAGCCAGTCACCTGGCCCTGCTGGCTGTCAACACGGACAGAACAAGACGCCTGGATCATCGCTGCCTTCGCTCTCGGCCACAACAACCGACGCATTGATTGATTATGACATCGTCATGGAAGTGCACGATTATTGCCTGTTGTCAGTGTCTTACGTTTGGTGGTAGAGATCCACATTGTGACTCCTCCTGGTGATCTCTGGGCACTGTTTATGACTATATTACCAGATTTTTGGTAACTGGCAGCGTGAGTCTGTGCTCTTTGTGTATGAGGCCGCTGTGTGTGTTTTGCTTGCAATTGCTTTTGTGGATCCCTGTTGTGACATAATTGTGTTACAGTTTACATTCAGTTGTGTGTTTCAGTGGTAGGCTTGTGAACCTTTAGCGGATATCTTGCGTATTGTGTAGCTTAATAACGTTTTGGATGGCGGCGCTTTTACTGTCAGTGTGCTGCGACTGTTATGTGCACGGTGCGGTGCGCACATCTGAGTGTCGGTGTTGCACTAGGAAGTAAACTGCAGATCCCTAAAGTCCCGAGCACCGTCACTGAAAAGCCGAGCGGCCCCATAGCACCGGCAAAAAAAAGTCTGGCTCTGCCACTGGTGGGAACACAAGAGTTAGACAAGATCGACAGAGACTGAAGCGGGAGATTCGAGCATCCTCTTCATGTGTGTTTGTCTCGAGGTCAAATCTGAAAATATGAGGTTTATGGTTCCACATTACAAAATGAGGATGTTTGTTTGCATGCGAGACCCTGTAGCTGTGAGCAGTAACACGACCTGTACTACATGAACCCAAACACCCAATGATTGAATCGAACAGCAGATCAAAGCAGACAGCGCTGTAGCAACAGCAAGTCTGTGTGGACACCGTAAGCCGTCCTGTGCTTAGCCGTGTTTGCTCTTATTCTGTACTAGATGCCCAGTTGTGAGAGTCCATAAAGAGAAAGTGTTTCTCTGTGAGTGTCCCTTCAGTGGTTCCTTTGGTCCGAACATGAATGCAGTCCTTGCTGATGCAGGTTGGAGGAAACCGGTTGCTCCTTTGTTTTATCTGCAGAGTCAGAGGGTTTTGTGACCGTTCTGCGGGTTGGGAGGTCCACGTGTCAGGCTACCTGAGATGACTGAAAGCATGGTGTGACTATTTACCGTAGAAGAGAAAGCACCAGGTGAATCGCACAAATGAACAAAGTCATCTGTGGAGCACCTGTGGCACCGAGAGTAGGACTGATCGGGCTTGAATTTATACAGAGTGCTGAAACATTTGTTGAATCACATGGCACTGAAGTATTTGTTGTATTTGTTGAAGTATATAGTGCTGAAATATTTGTGAAAATACATAACACTAAAGTATTTGTTGTAGTATTTGTTGAAGTACATTGTGCTACAATATTTGTCAAAATACATGGTACTGCAATATTTATTGAATTACATGGCACTGAAGTATTTGTTGTAATATTTGGTGCTGAAATATCTGTTGTAGTATTTGTTGAAGTATACAGTCCTACAATATTTCTTGAAATACATGACACTAAAGTATTTGTTGTCGTATTTGTTGAAGTACATTGTGCTAAAATAATTGTTAAAATACATGGTCCTACAGTATCTGTTGAATCACATGGGGCTGAAGTATTTGTTGTAATATTTGATAAAGGATGTAGTCTTACAATATTTCTTAAAATACATGAAACTGAAACATTTGTTGAATTACATTGCACTGAAGTATTTGTTGTAATATGTGGTGCTGGAGTAATTGTTGTAGTATTTTTTGACGTACATAGTGCTAAAATATTTGCTAAAATAAATAGCACTGAAGTATTTGTTGCAGTGGTTGGTACTGGAGCGGTTGGTACTGGAGCGGTTGGTACTGCAGTGGTTGGTACTGGAGCGGTTGGTACTGGAG